TTTCTGATTGGAGCTTGTCCGTCGAGGCGTGTGAGGACGTGGGCCCTTCTGCACTGGGCTGCGCGGTGGGATGCTGCATGGGGAGTCGGCCTCTCCCGATTGCACAGGTGATCGTAGCGGAAGCCGAAGCCCGGTCAAGGGTAAGGTCTGCTGCTGCATCGCATTTTCTGCACACGGTGTCACGGACGCCAAAGCAGGCACCACTGCGGGCGCAGGTTCCGGCGCAGGTTCCGACTCGTGCTTGGTCCCTGCGATGGCTTGTGCCTGTTCCAAGGTCGGTGCAACCAGTTCTCGTGCATCGAAGACGCCAGTCTTTCTCGGCGGAACCAGCCCGAGCTTCTCCAAGAGCAGCTCCAATTCCTGCTGAAGCTGCTGAGGATTTTCGGATTCCAGCAGCTCCATTGAGCTGGGAAGGTCTTCCGGCTGAACCCAAAGAGCGCAGGAGAGCCTGGCCTGACGGACTTTCAGATCTTTGACCTCCGCTTCCAGCACGGCTTTCTTCTCCAAATCTCCGTTCATTTCCGCAAGCACAATTTCGTTCCTCCGATGCTCGATGATGATCTTCAGCATCCTTGGGTTTGGTGCCGGACCTTATACCAGACCTGAAGCAACCCCCTTCAGAAGTCTGTCCGCAAAGACCACCTGAAGTACCCAAACAGTAATTCGTGAACATGGCATGCTTTGCCGAGCATCTGAAGGTTTCTTTCCATGGCCTCAGTCCACTGCAGCTTCTGATACTGCTTGGCGGCCTCCTTAGCGGCCCTGGCCTGTGCCCGAGCTTCAGCCTCAGTTGGGAGTAGAACGGCGAAATCTCGCCGGCCAATACTACTAATTACAAGTACGACGACGACGAGTAGTACTGCGACTGCTAATTCCGCTGCCGCTGCTTGGAACGTTCTGCACACTTTCTCTTACGACTACCACGACCACACTACTCATATCGCTTACGGCGGCCAACTATATTCCTTAGGTGCTCTAACAACAGGAAAACCACAACCGCATTGTACAACCGCTCCTGAAACGACGTACATATAATTAGATGTAACGTAAAGTTCATATAACGTCATGTTTGGGCTTGACCGGAGCCTTGTCTCGATGTCGGTGTGCGTAGGATGGTCCCGCAGAGAAAGACCTTGAGACGCTCCGCGCAACGGCCGCAAGACCTTCCTGCACACGACGAGCGCCGACCTGAAGATCGCCACAAAGGAAAAGCCGACTTCTCCAGTTCCAAAAAAAAAACCCAGGCCTGGACTGCTTCGGGAATCGAAGCAACTGTTTCCGCGAAAGCCTCGGCACCCTCCTGTCACGGCTTCCGATGCGTTAACTTCAGCATTCATCTGAATCCAACTTGCTTAGACAGACTACCAGTTGTCCTGGAGAAGCTGTGGAGCCTGGCTGACTGCTTCCACACCATCCTGTTTCAGGATAGTATGCAAGAGTCTTGAAGCTCGCATTCATCTGAAACTGGAGCTCCTGGTTGCCGTAGCTTCGGTAGAGCGACACAAACAAAAACCCGACGAAAAGCGTCGCGTGTTGCGTGAGTGCATAAGAAGACAGCGCTTTGCAGCAGTCACCGGCACTGACGTACCTCCGTACGCTAGACTTAGATGCCTGATTCCCAGGAGACCAGCGGAAGTCTCGATCGAAAAACCAACTCATCAAAGCCGCGAGCATGTGCCCGCAGCGGACGCAAAAATTATGCTTGGCAACGTCACCGCCGCACCCAACGCACTCATTTCTCCCCAAGGAGCGTTGTCAGGGTAGATCCCCAAGTGAAACATGCTTTACCGACTGCGGCTTGCAGCAGCATGAGCAAGAGCCATAAAACTCGCAGAGGGCACACGACTCCTCCTGCATCGACACACAGAACATCAAGCCTTGGGCTTGCTTTTCTCAAGTTCTTTCTTCTCTTCATAAAGCTTTACGAGCTCCGCTTCAAGCTTGCGCATCTTGTCCATTCTTGGCTGAATCTTCTTGCGGACCGCTGCATACTCACGCATCGCCCAAATCCAAGTCGTCAGACACTTCGCGATTCTCGGACCTTTGAACCTGAGGAACGGAACATGACACTCCGTGCTTTGGTCAAAGGAGCTTCGGGGCATTCGCTTGGGAAAACGAAGCACTCTTGTGTTCTCAACTGTCTGCACGAGCTTGCAACTTTGAACAGCAACTTGAGCTCATGCTCCCTTCTACCTCACTGTCATATTGCGGGCATTTGCGGCCAAAGTCTGGTCTGACGCTCTACAGCGGATCTGCCCAGCAGAATCCCAGGCAGGCACCAGCAGAAATTGAAAGGAAATCGGGCTTTTGAAACTGTTATTCGGATCCAGGCGGCTTCTCCATTTCCTGGATGCTGAGCTCCTCGTCAGCACAGTGCTCCTCAAGCAGCTTCACCTGTTCAGAACCCTCCACGAGAATCTCGTCACGGTTGAAGTTCTTGAGGTCTGGGACCTCGCTCGAAGACGGGAGAAGCGACTGAATGATGCGCAAACCCTGAAGCAGTAGTGGCGAGACCTCCTCCTCCTCCTCCTCCTCCTCCTCCTGTTCATCATGCTCCTCGTCATCGAAAACTTAAATCATAGTGCCGTTTGAAGTCGCAGACGTGCCAGCAGTTGAAGAGGAAGTGCTTGAAAGCAGCAGTAGCACCAGGACCAGGAGCACTGGCAGTAGCAGCAGGAGCTCCGTATTTAGGCAGTAGTCGGAGCAGCAACTTACAAGATGGCAAGCAGAGCATTGCCAGCGTAGCTCTGCCTGTACACTGCAAGAGATCGTGAACTGCGCTGGTGCCGTGAAGATGTAGAGACGAAACGCGGAGGTGGTGCAGCTAACAAGTACATTCGAGGCCGCCTGCGTCTCCAATGTTGGCCTAGCGGCTAGAGAATGACCGGCTTTGGCTCTCCAATCAGCCTCGGTCTTCACCTGAACACTTCTCACCCTGCTCCGGCATCTAAACTAAGCGTCTGCTAAGACAACTTTCAGTCACCTCCACGTTGTATACGACAGCAGCGATGGTGGCCATTATCTTCTTGAGTTGCTCCTGAGGGGGCTGGGCAATGGTCTGACATCTTTGGCCAGCCAGGCATGTCTGTCAGCAAGATCGAGAGCTTCCGCGAGCTTCCCGGCAGCGCACAAGCGAAGACCAAACCATAGCGCATAGACCTCGCCTTGCCCGGAGCACGTCGGTTCGAATCTACAAATGTGTTCCACGACCGCCTTCTCTGGTGCAGTGAAAGACCAAGGTTAGACCACTTGTACAAGCAGCCGCAGTTCGCAGGCGGAGATTCGCCCCCTGAGTATCTCGCGCCTGGCTCTGCCATACCCAAACCGATGCAGCAATGTCATTCCCGACAACACGGACGAGTCATCCTAATGCCCTTTGTCTGCCCGCAGTCCTGAGGCGTTTTCATGGATTTGAGCTCTGCGATGTCCCTCATCTCCTGAGTGTGGCATGCTGGAACGCATCGAAAGTGGTTTAGCTGGTGCACACCCTGCCTTGTGTTACATTGCAATATCTGTTGCCTTATTTTATGCATATATGTACCTCCTCAAGGAAACAACAGCAAGCCCGACTTGCATCAAACCCGAACTCGACTCACTGACCCCGGATTCCAAGATCTGCCGCGCATCCAACATGTCCAGAGCGACTTCTGCCTTCTCCAAAAGCGGTAGCGCGGTACTCTGGAGCTCTTTTTCCAGCTCCTGACACTGTGGAGTCGGGACTTGGTTGCTGCTTGGCTGGAAACATGGTCCAGTAAAACTCGGCGGGCACTGATGCGGCTGTCGTGGGCTTCCGACGTTTTGGGGTACTGCAAGACTGCAAGAGTCGGCAGTCCCGAAAAGATTTGCGGTCGCTGCAGAAGTTTAGTCAGTGCTATACTGGTACATTGGAGGTATATGGTTGCGTGGCCGTTGGCTTACTTGCGCAACAGGATCGCTTTGGACAGCCGTGAATCACTGCGACTGCCCGGGACTGCCAATGTGCAACTGAAAACCGCAAGCCGCAAGCACACAACGTCGTGCCTCTCTGAGTTCCCGGAACTCCTGGCAACAGAAGCCACTGAAAGATGCCAGCACTGTGGGTCGGACGAATCTCCATTTGCGGTAATTACATCTGCTCATCTCCAAGCTCGTTTCACTTGCGACTCCTTCTCCTTGGTCTCAAGCTGCTTCTCCAGCGGAGGGCCCATGGCGCTTTGCGCTTGGCGTTGCGGCTGCAACGTCCCAGACGCTTCTGAGTCTGAGAACCGACACGTACGGGTTAGCTAGGGACTCCTTGCCGTCAAATCCCACAACTCCTCTGACACGCGGACCAAAGCACGTCTGTGCATACAGTGTGTTGAGCCAGATAGCAACTGCATCAACCAGTCAATCAATTCGCATGTGCTCATGTCATGTCGCGTCTCCCCTTGTTCTATCTGGTTATAGAGACGCTGCACGGCTATGACAGACACGGCGCGAAAACCTGTGCTTCTTGGCAGGCTATGTAGCTGTTGACCGTGCCTGAAGCAATCTCGTGCTCTCTTCGAAGCGCTGTTGGGAGAGCATTCCAGACAGCGCGTGGAACACATGAGCTTGGACGGCAGCAGCTCTGAGAGTCAGATGTTCATTCGAATGCAGGGGTGAGCTTGTAACCTGGTGCCAACATCGGTTACCTATTCTAGTCGAAAACTTCGTATGACATTCGTGTATACAGTACTGGACACCCAAAAGGGTCAATCACCATTCGCCATCATTCGCCGAATGCACTGTCCCGCCATCTGCCTGCATGATGCCTGCACTGAGGAAAACAGCTGCGTGGAAGATCGCATCCAAAACTGTGAATTTGGGTAGTCATGAACCCTAGAAGATGCAGTGCTCTGAAATCCCATCAAACCGAACACAACCCAAGCATCACCCAAGAAAAGTCCGGAATGGACTATTTTTGCTGCGACCAGCTACTAAGCAACTAGTAGCAGCTAGTGCCTCTTTCCATCTTCAAGGCAGCTCCCAAGTTCGCCAACCTTGAGCACGGCTTGGAGGCGCAACTCGCGGAGCTCCGATGCAACCTGGCGGAAACAAGGACAGTCAAGATCCGCTGCCACGACGAAAAGAAGGGCAGCTGCCGTCCGCGACTGCAGAGCCGTCCTGGTAACGAGTATGAGGGTAGTGTAGTGACTAGTAATGGCAATAACAACAACCAGCAAGAAGCGAGTGATGGTGATGACATGGGGAACACACGAAACCAAGGGTCCCTGTGCATAGGATGTACTGCAAGCAGATTTTGCGCGGACAATGCTTCTTCAACCGCTCAAGCACGGAAGGGATCTGTCACAAGCTGGCCAAAGGAGCCAGGTTGGCTAAACAAGATTCCTGCTCGCTCTGTGTCTTTCACACGAAGCTTATGGCTGAAACGAGTGGCGCATGGTGGCACCATAATAACATAAGAGTGGCTGTACACTGCTCAGATGATCTCAGATGCTCAAATGCAGGCTCGCCTCGCGTACGGACAGACCTGACAGCCGGTCCTTGTGCTGCTTGAGAAACTGCTTGACCCACTTTGCATCATGCTTTGCGTACTCACGGAGGGCCCAGCCAATAGCCTTCCGCACGAAAAAATCCGTGTCGGAAGCATTCAGGAGGATGTACCGCTGAAGCCTTTTGACATCTGTGAGCCCTTTCAGCTTCAATTGGCAAAGTATGGCAGTTCTGCGCAGCCAAACATTTGACGAAACGGCCCACTTGTCCATCTCTTGAAGCAAGTCTGAACTTGGAGTGCTTCCACCTCCACAAGCCAACAGGTAGGGCGACATGGATGACGCAGCAAATATGTCCACCGTATCCCACCAGCTGTTCTTGGTAACGCCGTGCTTTACTACCTCAGTGACAAAAATGGAAGCCCAAAACGGTTCAAGCTGCCACAGCCGGCATCTAGCCGAGAAGTGTTGCTGCCAGCTGCATCGTAGCTGCGGGTAGGAAATCGCAGCCGACACGGCCTTTACGCAGGAGTCCAGAGCAAACCTCGGCGCCCACGTAGTGCAGCTCGCGTTCTTTGCCTCGGAGCGTTTGGGTGTGGGATGGTGCGGGCTATTGTGGGGTTTAACACTCCAGTGCTTTGTCTGTCACTGGGGCAACTGCCATGCAGTGGAATTTCCGAAAATTTTATCAATCAAGCCGCAGCAGTAGAGTGCCTCGAGCAGTTGTCGCGCCATGTCCTTGCTATACGGCAGGTTCGCAGGGCAAACTATTCCATGACAAACGGGGCATCGACAAATTTGAATGATCAACAACATTATACGAGCTGACGAAGCCCAACACGCCGATGTGTCCCCGCCCCTCTACGCAGGCATCAAAGGACCTGCCTGGTCGATGTCATGTTGGTGACGAGCATGCCTTGGATGTCCCGCGGGGTTTGCGCTCGGAACGCTCCACTTCTCAGGGAGGGCTTGGGGGGCGAAGGCCCCATATCCTTGTCTTGACGTGCCAGGCGATGTGCAAAGGAGCACGATCAGATGGCATCGGCAAGGCCGAATGCTTCCAAGGCTCCATGATGCCATCACATCGCCAGCCAGCTGCCGACGCAAGGGGGCTTTGAGGCCAAAGAAGGGGAACTTGCCTTTCCTGCGGCTTACGCGGGGTAGCTTCTTGGAAAAGAGCGTCTGATCTGTGATGTAAGCTCAAGGGATCAAAACAAACAGCCCTTCCAACGCAGCAGCAAAAAATGAGTCGTCTCAGCAGCCCGAGGCTCACATACCCGGTCATGGCGATAGCATCTTTACTGTTTCGGTTGAGATTAAAGGAGCGCTTCAGAGCCGTCACGAGCTCGGCCACCATCGCAGTTGTCTCCTGCCTGGTTTTGGGAACCTTCGCCTTCGCTGGCAGGGCAGTGCTGGGTCGCTTCCGGGCTGCGGGCATGCGAGGCGCCATGGTTGGACCAAAGAAGCTGATAGAATCGATGGAAGCTATAGGGAAGACGAATGCTAAGACGGATGGGCCCATGTCTTCACGGCGGCGCATATAGAGACATATGCGATACGAGATTGAGCTTGTGATGTCGCAATCGCTTTAAATTCTCTACTAGTCTGGAAGTGCTGGTTCCAGTACCAACTACTACTAGGAATGCTCTAACTACTCAGACAACAGAAATGACTTCTGCAACGACTACTTGTCCTCCTCCTCCTCCTCCTCCGACTACGACGGCCGCGACAGTCACGTTGACAGCAGCCACGTCGACGACGACGACTATACTGCTACTACTACGACCACGACAACAACAACAACTACTACTACACGACGACTACTGCAACTCCTGTTCCTGCTGCTGCTGCTGCTGCCACTACCAAACTGCTGCCACTACCAAAATGCCGCAAGCAATAACTCTTTGTAGGATTTATACTCCAGCAAGGAAACCCCGACTTGCATTTTCTTCACGTTGCGAGTGGAGAAAATGCTGGCTGTAGCAGTGCTGATTGTAGTGCTAATTTTAGTGTCAATTGAGCGTTAGCTGAGTGTTAAGTGTGCAAAACATAGACGGAGCTTTTTCCCAGCCCCCAGTTCAACATTGGCTTGATGTCAAGCTCTGGGGTGGGCCGCCGGTTCCTCTGACATTGGAAACCTTGCACCAGCCACATGGCATACCATCATCAATATTGAACACGGGGTGTGGGGTCCTGGTGATGGGCGATGTCATGAGTCAGCATCTGGGCGGTTGAAGATTTCCATCCACTGTAGTACGAGTAGGACGGTGACGACTACTTACATACTTAACTACTACTACTACTACTACTACGACTACTACTACTACTACTGCTACTACTACTACTACTACTACTACTACTACTACTACGACTGCTACTACTACTACTACTACGACTGCTACTACTACTACTACTACTCCTACTACTGCTACTGCTACTACTACCACTACTACCACTACTACCACTACTACCACTACTACCACTACTACCACTACTACCACCGCCACTACTGCTACTCCTCCTGCTGCTGCTCCCACTACTGCCACCACTACTGTAGCACACTGCTCCCTTCCGCTCCGACACCACTGCTAGTGCTGCTGATGCTGCTGCTACCGAATATGTCGCCACAGGTCCTGGTACCACACGAGCCGTATCCAGGACGACCCGTCCCGGACACACCTCGTGTGAAATTCACACGCAATAACACGGACATGTCCCGGACAAACGCTGCCATCCCCTCCCACACGAGGCTTTCTGCAACTACAGCTGGTGTCCGACACTCGCGAGCGACACTTTCCAGATGCGTGGAGATCCGGTCTTTTAAACTGGAACCCTTCCCTTTATGCATTCGGGAACAACTCTTCCAGCTTGAGCGGATATTATACTGCAGCTTCACTTGAGAAAAACCCCTGTAGGCCATTTTAGCCATGCACTCAACACAGAGTTGGTTGCCTTGCGGTAGTGGGCCCCATCATGGTCGCGCTCATGGAACGTCCAGTTGAACTCTACCTGGAAGGATTCGGATTTGTTCCATTTTCAGAATCTGATCGTCTCTCGCTGGGAAAAGCAAGGGAAAGCCACGGCTGAGGCAGCTGCCATGTCGTACCGTCGGCCAAAGTCTTTGGGATGGAGACCGCACCATCCAGAGGTACCCACGGAAAGGCGACCCATGGTTGTTGGCACTTGCCAGCGACCGCCGAGAAGAGTTCTACTAGAATTGTACTTGCAAACTGAGATTCAACTTCAACAATAAAGTCAGGCTGTCGGAGCTTGGTTTCCTATAGATCAATTTTGCACAGTGCAAAACTTATGCCAACCTGTTGCGAGCAGCCCCGACGCCTCAGAGCAACATCCGATACAGCTACAGCGCTTAGCACCCTTTGCTGATTTGACCCGAAGTTTGACATCGAGGCTTTGGCTGGCTTGGTCTGATTGAAACTTGCTGGGCTTCGGTAAACGAGCAGACTTCAAGATATGGGTGCTCAACCCAAGCAGAGAGACAGAACTTGCATGCCACCATTCGACATGCATCAGGGCTTTCTTCCCACACGGGCGGCTGTGCGGTCTGTGCTGTGTCGCATGCCTACCGAAGCCAGGAGAGGTGGTAGACGGTTTTGGCAAAGCGGGGGTTTAGGGAGTTCAAGGAATTCAGTGCAACGATTCTTCAAAAGCACATGGCGCAGGCTTTTGGTGACCACCAAGCAATCTGATCTCCCAATCCAGATTCCACCAGAAGCCTGTGCAAACTGAGATGTATCTACACGAGCTGCTAGGGATTGTTCCTAGTTGCTCGTCAGCTTGTCGAAGTGCACAATGTCCAGCCGGATGTCTTCGAACCTACGCACTGGTAGTGGTTCTATCTACCCGTATCTACACGAATAGATGAGGCTGTCTACAGATACACGAATTTGAACACGTACATGCTGGCGGTATGCATGCACGTGACTCTATGGTTGCGTACATACTTGCATGCACTCTGCATGCATGCATACAGTTTTACATACGCACAGACAGACAGACTGACAGATAGACGGATGCATTCAAAGGAACATTCATAGATACATAGGTGTATTGCATGCAGGCATGCATGCATGCATAGAGACACAGTCACATGCAAAGGCAAATGCTCGGGCATGGCATACATACCTACATACATATCATAGACAACATCATGCGGCATGCCAGTAACATGACAGAATATCGCATAACATGACATAAAACCACGTAACCTAGCACAATACAGCATTACATGCCGTAGAACAACCCAACACAGCATAACAACATAACATACCAAGCCGTAATGTAACAAAATATGAAGCAACGCGACATAAGACAACAGAGAATAGCAGAGCAACACATCTATGCGGGCATAACCCGATCTCTCCAAAGCCAATCTGTATACATGCATCTCTCAATGCCAAAACGGCACACCTGATCCTGTTCTTGGTAATTAAAGTTTCACTGCACTTCCTCTGGCCAATGGCCATCATGCCTATCTTGTAGCCGGCTTGTCGGATAAGACTTCCTCAGCCCTTCTGCGTGCAGCGGTCCAGTCCTGAGGCTATGTGTTGCTTCCTGGATTGCAAGGCTGTCACACTTAGGAGAAACACCTCGCCGCTCGTCGGTTCACGATGTTGGGGCTGCTTAGTTTTGGAGTTTCACCAAACAGCGAGACAAACCGCACATCCTCTGGCTGGCCCGCCTAGATGATAGGCGCAGGACTCGAAGCAGCTGCCGGCTCCTACACCACGGGCAGGTGATCTGGGGGCCGCTAGCGATGCTCCGTTCTGGCGGTTACCGATGCAAGCCCCCTGCTTGAGATGGGGCCTCTGCCGGTGGCACGAAGACTGGCGGCTTCTCTGTGCCAACCTCGAGCGCTTTCAAAGGCGTAGTGGCATTAGTGGGCGTTGCGGGCATGCCGGGCGCTGAACCCGGACCATGTCAAAAGGCACCGCAGACTTCCCAACGCGTCGACTGCAGCTGAGCTCCCCGGCAATGTAGGCCACAGTTTTCGCGCGCAGCTTACTGGCCAAACAAAACTGCTGCTACTAAGGAACCAGTGGGAATGTACTGGAAAGCTGGGTGAGGTGTGGCCATGTCCAGCGATTCGCTCATGCACATGCGAATTCTGTAGGACTTGTGTCTGAGCTGTTCGTCCGTCTAAGCGTGTAAGGCTCCTGTACTTGTTGTCGAAGGCCAGGATCATCGTCCTGTCCTCATCGGCCTCGGCGCGATTTGGCAAGCCGATATCCAACATCATACTCGTATCCAAGGAGCGACGGTGTATTGGTGTGAGCTGGGTGTGAGCATGCAAAAATTCCAGATGCGTGATTGGTTGAACTGGAACTGGAACTTCAGTGGGAGCCATCATCCGGGTCTGGCTGCCCTAGGCTACTCTTGGCGAACTAAGCCCCAGACAACCCAGCTGCCAGAGATTGTATCCTTGTTGTCGTATCTTTCCATGGCCAAGACCTGCGAAATACAAAGCCTTTAGCAAACGAGTACAGCACAAGCTCATTCACTATCTGCCTCCTCTTCTTGTGCGCCTCCCCAAACTTGGATTCGCATTCTGACCTCCGCTAACGCCATGTTGTTGCTTCTGTAAAGGGACTCCAGGAGCCGAAGTCGCAAGAAATCAAGGGAATGCTGGGATGCCAGCAGCAAAGCCAATGTCGTGTTCCTGCATGCTCAAGTCAGCAGACGGTATTTGACAGGATCGTACTTCTGTGAGCATGACTGACCCATTACGGCGTGTACGACCTGTACGACCTACACCCTCATGTGATGCCCTCAACAAAGAAAGTCGGCCTTCACACGGAAGGTCCATCGCAGGGTCGAGCCTTTGGTGACATGATACGCACCTTGGCAGAAAGGTTTCAGACTTTAGCTCGGTCGAACGCCACCGGCGCGATTCAAGACTGTCCCTAGATCCCAACTTGCATCTGCTTCGCTGGGTCGAGCCCCTGAGTCTGGGCAAAAGGCACACTTCAGCCAATTGATTCGATTGCCTGAGGCTACAAGTTGGCTCCTCCTTCCGACGAAATTTCTGAAGAGCGAACATCGTAAACATGAACTAAAAGTCTAACTAAGGACAATTTCGAGCTGAAACCGCCCCAAACAAATGCAGGCAACAAGTTTTGCTAAACCATTAAATTAGTCCATGATCTCCCCTCGTGCCCGGGCATAGCGCAGGTGTGCTCCGTCCGGGCCGGCACAGACAGTTCCTCTGCACCTGTACGTGTTGTCTACGGAGCACTCCGAGCATGGCACGTGCCAGCGTGTGACAGAAGCGTGCCTTGAACTTTGATGTCTTTCCATTGCTCCTGACTCACGCATGCTCTGGAACATTGACGGATCTAATCACACTCTAGCCAAGCGGTGTGCTCAAGATGTGATCGTCTCTGAGCTTTCTCCTCGCGAGCCGCTATATCGAGGGTGTCCCTGGCAGATCCTCTCCACGCCACAGCACTGACCTGGCCAAGCAAATGGAAAAGGGGATGGGTCCATCGGATCGGAAGCGAATCGTGGTACCACTTGCCAAGCGCCGCCTGAAGTTTGCATTCTGTGCTGCTGACAGTACTTATTCCCGTTTGGCCGTAGAGTCGTATCTCTCATTCCTGTCTAGTCTAGCATGTAGTGCAACTACAGCGACACCGTTCTTGCAATGTGGCTGATTTCAACAATACGATGTATAGTCGTTTGCTTCTTCTTGTACTACTCCTGGTCTGGTTCGCCAGCACCGCCACCCAAGAAGTGCCGTGGCAGCCAACAAGTGTAGAAGCGTCTGCAGCATCAGCAGCAGCAGCAGTAGCAGTATCTAGAAGCCGTGCAGGAGGAGAAGCACAAAAAGCAGTATGAGCTGCAGCAAATGCTTTCGCGCACGAGGCGGCGGTGGTGGGAGTAGTAGTCATCGTCGAAGTACGTATTGGTAGTACTCGCAATAACTAATCGTCGCTGTGGTGGCACTTCACAGTAGATTCTACCACTAGATTCTGTCCTACCAAATGTGCCACGGTAAGGGCTATACTGCGTGTAGTTCCTTTGCACTCCACATGTTCGCCATCTCAGGTTCGGGCGCCCTCGGTCCGAATTCTCTGGATGTTGCCATACCCCTTCTCCCACACCTCGGAATTTGCTGACAAGGGTTCCCGTTTTGCGTGCTCGTTCTCATCTGGCCGGTCGTGGCAGTCGTGGACGTAAGCCTTCCACCGTGCCAGCACCTGCACGCCATTCGCGAGTCCTCTCCTGCGCATGTCAGAATCTCAGGTCCAGTCGGAATACACAGCATGATTCCCGATTGCCAGATTTTGGATTGCTTGAAGCGCCCTACATCATCTGAAGCTGGCAGCGAGGGCACGAGAAGCCCCCTGCATCTTGGATACCTCCGTTCAGGCCTTGACAGCTTCCAAACCTTGCTGGGTCTTCTCCATGACCACCTTCCCTGTGTCCTGCAACATTCGATGTCGAACAGATGCTTCAACAAAAAGACCAAAAAGAAGACTTCTTTGCAGCTCGATGCTTCCGAGAGCGTCCTTGGCAACTTCGAGGCCCTTCTGTACGCGCTCGTTTTCTGCGATCTCCGAGGCTCTCCTGCAGGGTGGCAGGCGAACCCTCTAAAATGCTGGCACCGAGAGTGACAACGGTTCGCCTTTTGGCCCATTCGACGCTCTGCTGGACCTTTTCATTCTCTGCCACCTTCTGCGAGACTTCCTGCATCGCCACTGCTTGCAGTCATTGGATGTGCACTCCAGGGCACTTCGAGTACAAAGCCTCGTGCGAATGAGGAGACAGTAACTCTGGAGGCCTTTATCCTCTCGACCCCCTTCTGCACAGACCTTGGCGTCGGCCACAGAGCAAGTCAGCTATCTGCATGACGTGCAGTATCACGAAATAGCAAGTAGCAGGTACCACCAATAGAAACAACAACTGCTTGTCAGTGAACCCATTCATGCAGTCAAAATAAGATGTCAATGACAACAATCAACCTTACTGGCTAAATACTACAAGCTGTCCGTTGAGTATTGTGCACATGGGCCTAGTTTAACTACAACATTTTCCTCCCCGCCATGGTCGCACCACAGTTCTGCACCGGCCCTGTCCGCCATGGAGCTGAAGCACGCTTTGCCACAGCACCACGCGCACTTGGGGCTTTGTAGAGCTGAATCTCAAGGGCCGTGCTATGATATGCAATCCTATCTATTCGGCTCTCGACATCCCGTCATTCCAAAGAAATTTAGGAATTCTCTCAAATGTGCCATCGACGCATTTTGAGGTGCGAGTCGTCTTGCCGCCACAGTCCGGCGCGTTTCTGCCTCTCGAAATCGTGCTCCCGCCGCAACCCCGTGCTTAGATGATCGTTAGACCAATAAACAAAGAATAGATCAACGATCAAACAGTTTACAAATGAAGCCATGAAACGCAAAGCACATATATATATATATATATATATACACATGTATATATATGTGTGTATATATGCGTACATGTATGTGTGTACATGTACACACAGATACGTGCGCACGTATGCGTGCTGCGCATGTGCATATACGCTCTCACAACTCACACAAGCCAGACGTGGTCTCATGCTTCGCAGCAGTCGGTAGACAGGACGCAAGCAAGCTGGTTGAGGTCTGCAGTTACTTTCGACCACAATGGCGCAGAAACAAGACGCAACAGATATATTTGTATAACTGTATACATATATATATATATATATATATATATACACATCTGTACGTATGTATGTATGCATGTTTCTAGTCATATATTTGCTTGTGAAGACATATAGTATAAAACATATCATGACTGTCATAACTTTTGAACCTGAAGTCGTCATCCCCGGCTGGGGGTTCGGCTCGAGCTCGGCCACCCGCTGCACTGTGGGCGCCACTTTCTCCTGGCAGCTTGGGAGTATAAGGGAGCTTCCGAAAATAGAGGACCCAAACATAGTACCCTAAATGGTAGGAGGCTTTTTTTTAAGGGGCCCTATAGTGTTCTTATTGAGTCATATTATTATGTATCATAGATATGATTCCTATACTAGTAGTGCGTATTATGAATCATGAACGAACTGATTCCTATAATAGTAAAAGACTTCTTCTGGCTCCGGAATTGCAGGGAACAGCAAACACGGCAGCGAAGGCTTTTTTCGCTGGCAAGGGTTTGAGAGTTTAAGAGATTGAGCGTTCAAGGTTTGAGTTTAGGGTCGCGTTGTGGATTTCGGGGGCCCCAAGGCTTGAGGCTTCATAGGGCCCCCTGCCACCCCTTGTCAAGCCCAACAGCAGCCGACAAAAGCTTTCGGGTGTTACCTTTCCAAGGTTGAGGAGTTAGTACGCATGGCTATGGTATGATGATCGTGGTGCTGCTATGGGTACCGCCGTTGTGAAAAGACTCATCAGACTCATCCTATCTAGAATCTAGAAGGGGAAGAGGGTAACCTTGCCGCAAATTGGACCGATCTTCTCGCCCTCTCAGAAACGAGGCCCCGGATGCTGCGGTTCAACCTCGACCTGGATCTCAAGAGTAGCAACAGCATGCGGGCGACGGACGGTGATCAGAAAGATCATGAATGACGGTGGCCTCAGTTTAATTTCAATGCCCCCACCCGCCCAACCCTCTTCCCACAAGGGCCCCATGCGGGTCCCTGAGTCGGCCGAAGAGGCCTTCACCATGGGCTTCCCCGGCCTGCACTTGGCAACAGGACCACTACGACCACTGCTGCTGCCGACGACGGAATGCCCTAGACTTGACTGTGATGGCGGTGAGGGTTATGATGGCGCTGGTAAACGGCGATGGCCAGTGCCACGCTGGCACATTCGCCAAAAGTGGTTCTTGTTCTCAATGCCTGTCTTGATGTTTCTCAATTCTTTCTCACACTGTCGGAAAGTCGGGGAAAGCAGAAGCTGCTCGGAAAGACCTTCCGCAGGATCACAACAGTCGTTTGAAATCATCATAATCCATTGAGTTGCGTTCTTGATTGTACATTCAAGCCATCTCACAGAATCTAACGTGCAAGGAAGAGGACACGTTCCGAAGGTAACCGAACCTCGGACACTGTACCACAACCTTCACCAAAATCTCAGAGGCTCTGGGCCACAGCAAGGAACATCGGGATCCTGTGTTGAGATATTAGCGGACGAAAGCCGGGGGGAGGGAAGTGGCAGCTGCGCACTGCAGATGCGAGCAGATGCTGGTAAGCGAGTGTGACTGATGCAGTGCTCCGCAATTCAAGAAACAACAACTCTGAAACGTTTCTTTGCCTTCCTACAAGATCGATCGATGCTTGTGCTTGCCAACAACGAGTCCAAAAAGAAGCCTGCCGAATGATAGCGGCGTTGCTGTCTGATGCGCTGACCGGTTGAGGGGCACTTGCAAGGCCCGCTTCCTAGTCAAGAGTTCGGCCTTCCTAATGGATCAGGGGATAAGATGCTCCGGGGGGGAATCAGGAGCTTGGGCCCCCGGAAGTCTGTCAGCAACAACTCTCGCAAGCTCCAAAGAAGCTAATTTTGCGGGAGATTTCTCGGCGTTGCATGTTGATCCCGCAAGACATGTCGTTTGCTCTGTCAGTCGTGCCCCTGGCATCTTGCCCAGATGCTTCTACATCTGCACAACATACATAAGCATGCATGTATATCAGCTGGTACAACCGAAGATCCACGACATGAAGAAGCCCTCAAACCTCAAATGCCCACAGGCCTGCGCGGACAATTCGAGTCCGTCGGGTGTATCCTCGCGCTCTATTTCTGAATGGGCTGGATCCTGCAACAAACGCTGTGGAGATGTTGTGTTGAGTTGAATCATGCACCCCGGACTCTACGGCAGCAAGAACATGCCGTCTAACATGTAACTTTCGACTGCACCAAGCAGGCGTGGAACGGGGAGATTGAAATCCTCGGCGAATAGAAATTGAGAAACACAAGAAATTGTCGAGATGGTCCCGTAGCTTCAAGAGCCTGCGAGAGCTCGCTCAAGTCATCGCGACGATGTTGACGATAGCAAGAGCGTAGTTATACTATGTTAGTACTAATTGTTACACAGGTGAGAAGGGCCCACGGTTTCTATGTAAGCGATCTTCAACTCAATCAGGCCTGCGCAGGCACGGCTGCAGGCGCGGCTGCAGGCGCGGCTGCAAGTGCAGCTGCAGGTGCAGCTGGGACTCCCTCTGGCGGGTCGCTGCTGCCAGCCGCGGCATAGCCGCCTCCCTCCTGCTGAAGCAGCTGCGGGCACATCTCCACCCTTCGACGGCGTGTCTCTACGATAAAGCATGTCCACGTGTCGCCCTGCTTTCCGCTTCGTGATGCCACTGAATAGACGGCCCTGCCACCCAACTAGCAACTAGTGCCCACAAAATCAACAGGCGTCGGCGTCCTGCACCGGCGCTTCAGTCATCTGACAAGATGCTAGGATTCGTCGCTTAAGGGTGCTATCGTCGATTGGGGTGAGTGCCCACGGTCAACGCTGCGAACCCGACACTCACAAGCTCCGCCATCCACGAAATAACATGCTCCAGCTGCTTCAATGAATGCAGATCGTACGAAACTGACTCATGCAGCTGTCGGAGAACAAACCAACCGAAGCTAGATTCAATCCTCCAGACGCCAAAATTTCAAAAAGAGAAGAACCTGTACTTACATCAGCCGACTTCCTTCGCTTCCGGGCACCCGACCATGGTGCAGGAAGCCTTGCCGCGTGCAGGCAAGGCCAAATGCTTTTGAGCCAAGGCTGCTCAGACTCGGAGGTTTGGTATTAATAATGGTGTTATCAATATTACTATTCTTATTATATTATGATTAGCAGTAGTAGTAGTAGTCGTCGTCGTCGTCTGTACTAGCAACTACTATCATGTGTAGGGCTGTTTGCCCGGAGATGCACATCCAAATGACTCACATCTACAGGCGCCACCATGAAGTTCAATTTACAGTATATAAGCGGCACAGCACTTCGGAGGATTCGCAAATTCGCACCACATTCGCATCGGCGCAGCGCCCCGAATGACTAAGAGAGCAGTGTTCCCTCAGAGCAGCCCAACACAGTACGTGGCCACTCCGCAGGATTTCGCTTTCGCTGACAAAGGGTGTCGGCAAATTGCTACTTGCGCAGGTGTTAAACATGATGTTCGACTTGACGGCGACGGAATGACATGTTGCGACTGCCGCATGTGACAGCGTCTTGACATGATAGTTGTGTGAGCTTTGCTTGGCTTCTGCATGCCGCATCATGCCGCGAGGTTTTCCTTGCGAGCTGAATGGGTTTTGATAAGGCCGTGTGGGAGCTGCAGAGACTGCGACATCGCACTTCGAAGGTTTTTTGCAAATGCAAGGACTTTCCAAATTTTCGAAGTGCCACTGCTGTGTTTGCGAGCTTCTCTTTGTATAAAGGGTATGGGAGGTCCAGGAACACGCTGACACTCAGAGTTGGCCTTGTGCCATGAGAGGGCTAAGTCAGGTCGTGGGCTCGACCGCTTGTACCAGAAGTGTTTGCACAGGCCGAGTATGCCAAGCCCGTCTGGCAGCAAAACAGCATGCGAATCTTAGCTGCAGATTTGAGAAGCTTACCGCTGGCAAACACATCCTGCAAGACTGTGCTGGGCTGCATGTGGGCAACAGCCTCACCCAATCGAACATGTAGGATGCTCGCAGGCGGTCTTGCCATATCTTGCCATCCTTTTCCGCGAAATTGGGGCCAGGGTAGGAGGGGGGAGCGTCTGAAACGTTGCAAGCTTGCAAGCAGGGAGCACTTCGACATCCACATGGCGGCATCAACAAAATGAGCTTAACCAAGTCTTCCAATCAGTTTCCATGGTAACTGTGTCAGCTATACTGCTTCGATTTGGCTTACAGTTCGCCATCTTGATGCCGTGCTCACGCAGCAGCAAGACTACCTCGGCAAGAGGAGGCAGGCGCAAGCACGGACGCGGCGGCAAACAAAAAAACAATGTCCGTGTGTCTAGCCTGAGAGCCCTGCGCACTATGAAGCTGGAGCAAACTCCCAGGCACAATCTCGGTGCTCCGGCATCGAAGGCCTAGGCCGGGCAATTTGGGCGAAAGCTATGAATCAACTGCCCGTCTCACAGATTTGCCATTGAGCTCGTGCTCACTGACTTGCTGGGTCGGCGGCCATAGCTGCAAGGCATTGCCTGCGAAGTCTCAAGCAAGCGGCAGAGTGCAGAAACCAAAAACGACTCGTGCATACTGAACATGCACCACTTTCGAGGCCCTCACTCATGGCGCTCTGCGAGGTAGTGTGGTCACCCAGATGCTGGCTCAGCACTGCCTCCGGAAACAAAAGCTTTTTACATAGGATCCAGAAGACCGAGACAAAGCGTTCATCGCGTTTTCGATTTCCTCAGAACCAAACCAAAAAAGCTCGGCTAGGCCCCGTGCGAGGTTCGCCCAATACTGCCTCAGCTCTGGGCGATGCTCTGCACAGTCCTGCTTGCCGCTGTGCTGCGGACGGACTGGAGAGACGGAGGGTGGAGAAGACCGATTCTAAATTATTGTAAGTCACCACAGGAAGAGACCGAAGAGGTCAAAAAGCAACAAAAAGCTTCTGCTTCCTGCATCCAAGCTTCGGATTATCAGGATTCAGTGAAACAGCTTTTCGGACTGCTCGGGCCTGTGCGAGCTCAAGCACAGAACGCACGCCCTATGCAAAACTTCGGGCGACAAATCACCCAAGCCAGTCTTGTCTTGGGTGCCTGACTCCTACAGCTTACGATTGTTCTTGTCCGGTAGCCTATAAGCCACTGTCCAAACTTCAAACTTGATCCGGCAGGCAGTTCCGACAGATCTCCAATCCAAAGTGTCATTCATTCAGCCAAACAAACATTTCGGCATGTCGAGGGCTAGCATTCACAGCTTGACAACCGGATTCTGGGCTTGCCACACCATCGTGCAAGTTCATCCTGGAAGCCTCGAAGCTACGAAAACCATCCAAGAGCACAGCCGTCTCGCAAGGGGCCATCTATCAAAGTAGGCTACGAGCGATGCTAGGAATCCGATTGGCCCTGCCCTTCCGTCTTAGCAAGAGCGAGACACATGCCACCCACTTGGCCCTCCGAAACAAGTCCCCCTGGGGGCAAGACCAGGCAGCAGCCCAGGTTGTTCCAACCCTTTGCAAAGTCTGGATTGAGCCTGGTCTTGCGGACACAGTGGGAAGCCGCTTTCAACTGAGGCACCGTACCAACTAGGACACAAAACCTGATACCACGCTTCACAGAAGGATACAAGTTGATCGATTCATTGATAAATTGATTAACCGCCTTTGCTTCTTCCCTTCAATGCCCTTCGAGAGCCAGGCTGAAGAGCGATTTGTAACCTGCCCACTTGCACGTGCAGATGGCTCTGCGGGCTCGTTGCGGCACGAAATGAATGAAGTCTGACAGCCCTCTGAAAAATCAGCCAGGCCTGGTTTCTGCCTGGTCGATCTTCCTTTGAGGGAGAATGACAAAGCATGCGGCATCCAAGCACGGGAGAAACTTACTGTCAAGGCTGGTCCCTCAAAGGCCAATTCTCTTTGGACCGCCGGTGATATTCCAGTGTTAATTCAGGCACGGGTCCCGTTCTGAAACATGGCCAGCGCGAGGTCGTGGAACACCTGCCGCTGTTTGTTTGGGGAGTTGGCCTTTGAAGCTGGATGTGCCTTTGAAAAAGACAACTCCACTCCATCACTCACCCGCTCACTCCCTCACTCTGGCAAGTCGTTACATTCAGATCCCTGTTGGCGATGGCATCGCATTTTAGTCCAATACCACTACAGCATTCTCACCCGATGGCTTTCGGAGCAACCAACGGCGGTTCTCCGTCCTTGCTGGTGGTTCGACCTCCCGTGACAGATCCTCGCTGACCTGGATTTGGATATCATCCAATATAGGCTGCGACCAGTCTAGGTCCTGGAACGGGTCGAAAAAGTGTTCGTCAAAGAAGGTGACGCCACTCCGTATGTCCGTCGATTCCTCAATTCCTTCTGTAAGCGGCAAGGCCTCAGTCTCTGGAGCTGGCAAAGGCGCAGGCATGCCCAAGGCCTCCTTCCGCAGGCGCGATCGCTCCTCGTCACGGTGGACCCAGCCATACCTCAGGTGCCCAACCTGGCCTCAACTCATGGAGGCTCGGGGACTGAATGTCTCGCCAAGAATCAAGAAATCCCTCGAACAGTGCCGGTGGAGCCCGCCCTACGAGACTGTGGGCCTCAAGGCCAAACGTCACGACGCAGTGCGATATATGCACTACAAGCAGGCCCTGCGCATGTGCATACTTACGCGCAGGCAACATCCGACCATAACGTAACGAGGAACATCACCCAACAGATGTCCACATGTCAAAGGTGTAAAAGCATGCTGAAAAAGATAACATGGGCACACGTGCTCAACGGCCATCTTCGCAGCGGCCGTCAGCTCCATGAAGGCAGAAGCAGGAATGAGATCCTCGAGCCCTGTGCCTGGGCAGCATGCGACCAAGAGGAACAATCTAGTTTTCTGACGTCTACACTGACTACTAGTGAAGGCGAAGGGGGGCGTGGCCAAATGAGAACGATTCGGTCAGCATTCGGAGAGCCATGGAATAAATGTGCTCCTGGATCTCATCCTTCTATCTGCTTACCTCTTACGCATACACCACAACCCCTCGATGCGGTCCAGAGGACACCGTGGTGCCGCTGCTTTCTGAGCCCTCTGCTCTGCACAGCCGCCAAAAGTCTTGTTGTCCGCCCAGTAGCAATAGCTCATACACTTCAATATACGTCCGCCAGAGTTCCTTGCCTGCACATTGAGGCAAACGTCCTCAAACAAGTGCAGTTGCGGCAGGTACTCGACCTGGAGCTTGGCGAGCTCGACCAGATTTAGCAGGACGACTTTGAAAACAGAGGTGCTGTCCAGGGCCCACTGTGCAGACTTCATCGGAGCTGTCCCATCGTCGCGCAGGAAACCGCAAATCGCACAAGTTCCCTGCGAGGCTTGCTGCTGAACTGCAAGCATGGCTTCAGCAAACATCGCGCCATGGCAACGTCGTTCGCTTTTGCGCCCAGCAGGCTTGGAAAGAGACGTTGCCGGAACAACTATGCCGCGACTCTGGAGCCGCTCATCTTCCTCCTGGAGAGACCGGTCCGAGAGAGGATTGAGCCGGTAGAAGCTGGTGATGCTATCGTCTACCAGCCAGCAGTACCGCATCTGCTGCAGCGCCCCCAATTCATGAGACTGCTCCATGCGAAAGGCCGAGGACACCTTCTGGATACACCACCTGACGAAAGCTGGGCCCTTGTCGTTCTCTGGCAGCACCAGCAAAGGCAGGTCTGGCCAGGCTTCGCGGTATTCTTTAGCCTCAGACGGCTCGACGACAGCTACCACCAGGGCAGAGGGACTTTGCCTTTGCCCGTCGCTCTGAAAGGCAGCCTGGCCAAAACAGTGCGGAGCCCGCCAGTTCAGGTGAGCAGCTTTAGCACGGCCCTTGCTTGGAATCAAGACTGGGTACGGATGCTGTGGCAGGGATGTCGAAGACCCGAACCACTGGCACCACTCAGAGAGGGAATTCAAGGACTCTTGCGTGGCCCAGAACGTGAGGCGCAGTGGCTCTCTGGAGCCATCTCTAAGCGCATATGTGACTGGCTGCTTGCCCTCCCACGCAATCAGGTCCACTTCTCTCAAGGATGCCGCTTCCGTGTCCGGCGGTGTCTGCAAAGCCTGCCGAAATCCATCTTGCTTGAACTGGCCCCACGTGTCAGTGTACCTTGGGGTTCTCAAATCACATACTGTCAGCCGGGTCAACTGCACCGAAGAAGCAAACTTCTCACCAAGAGCGACAACAACCTGCCAGGAAATCGAAGTACCTGCCTTGCGCAATCTTTTGCTTCATGTTCCGGGACCGCTGAAGACCCAGCACTTTGGCATCCACCTTCCCATAGCGCGGAGACACATGGAGGATGGCCAGGGACCGCTTCCCAGCCGGCTGCAGAGTCCTGCGGCTGTCGCGCCACATGAGCAGCCGTCCACGTGTTGTCACCACTCGTGAATCCGCTTCTACAACAATCTTTCTTGTTATGGCATGTTATAGCGTACTACGCAACACAAGGAAGCAGATGACAGCTGAAGTATCACGGAAGAATGCGCACGGGAAGATGTGTTTCCCTGTATCCCCGTCACCCCACACAAGTCAGACTGCAACTAAAAACTCGGTGGAGAGGGAGTCATCTGCAAGTGCTTGCTACGGCTTGCTCTAGAAGCCTACTAGACTCATCTACCCTTGCCCATCCTCCTTCTCCAGGTCTTCAGCTGAAAACGCATCCGGAAGCGCATCTTCGAGTGAGCCATAGCTGCGCTCAGGGTGGTCGTGGCCAGATCCGCCAGGACCTCAGCCCCAGGCTTTGTTGACTAGGACTAGGCCGAGGCTTTGACACCAAACCACTCTTGAAACAGCTGTCCTGAAACATGCTGGAGGTTGGGGCTGATTCCAAATTGACGACCGTGCTTACAGTTGAACGATCCCCCGACGTCGTGCCTAGGGGCGTGCAGTCTGTCATGCACACGCAGCCACCGTTCAACAAAGAGATGAACGGCCCTGGAAAGTAAGGCAGCAGAACCCGACTTCAACTTTGCGAGCACTGACTGCACACGATAAATCTTGAAGATGACTGAGAACAGCCCCTCAACGATAGCACCGACACGCGCACGGTTGCATCACGAGGCATCAGGGACTGAAGCAAAGAAACCTTGTTCCAGCCAAAGAAGCCTGCCGCGAGCTCGATCGCTGGAGGGAGTTGGGGGCCAGGCGATGTTGCTTGGGCCGAGGGCAGCTGCACCTCAAAAGGAATCTCCCGTTTTACATGGCGCTTGCGGCCTGGGGCGGGGGTGTGAATATTGAGATATATAGCCCACCCTCCCACTTCGAAGGCAATTCGCAGCAGCTCAATCGTTGAACACAGTTTCCATCCATCTGCGGGTCTGGAGCGTGCATGTCACAGCAAAGGCGTGTTCTGTCGAGCGTGGTAGGACTTGCAAGCATCAGAGCGCGATCCTGCTTCTCCAATTTCGGGACACGGGGATTCCCTAAGGGAATAATCTATAATCCGTTACTATTTAACCTATGCAGTGGCGGAGCGGGCTTGAACTACAACAAGGCTTGACCCAAATCTCATTGCACTCTCCGACCTTCGATTCTGAAAGGCTGTATGCGTCACGGGCGCTCCCGTTCCAAAGTTGCCAGCTGCTCGTCGAGCGAGTAAAGCTGAGATTCCATTGCCTGAAACCCAAAGCAACTTTGGTGATCTTCAATGTTATTCTGCCTTCCAAGCACGATTCGACGACATGACTTCGATACCTGTAGGTACCATACTGGTACCATAATCCTCTTTCTACTCGGAACCGCCGACGGGCTTGGCAGTGGGCCCTGGAATCTCGATGCTCGGTCATGCTGGAATGGAATTCTGCGAAAGTGGTACAAGCAACATCAAGCAACTGGATTGCTCGGCCTTCACCTGCCGGCCGACGGCGTGCAAATAGCGCCGCTGAGCCCTCGCTGGGCCATCCAGCTCTGGTCGCGCCATCTTCAGCTGCGATCCATGCGGTGCCCCGTCGAATTCGAGCTTTGGAGTGCAGGCTTGTGGGAGAGCGTTATTTTCCGTTGTTTTGGCGATTCAGGACTCCATTTTCATGGGGCTTTCATGTTGCATGTGCGTGGGGCTGCGCATGATGCGAATAATCCGCACGCTTGCTGCAACGCGAGCTGCAGTTTATTGTTAGACTTTTTTAAGCACGGTTGCTACTTCGACCGCAGTCGGCCTGCTGGAAGATTCCGGAACTCTCTAGGAGGAAGAACGTGGATCAGAATGTTGCCCTTCAAGCCGTGTTCAAATGCCCCTGGGAACGGAAGCAACCTCTAAATCGAAGACGATTTAGCACAGACCGGGAGCAGGCTACCTCCTCGTCGCGAACCATCAGGCTTGCACCAAACTTCTCAATGGCCGCAGAGAGCCAACGCTCCTGGACAACGAACCAGGGTGGGCATGTTAGCACCGGCTCTCACTGCACTGACAATGCCCACAAGGGCTCAGTGCAGTTCAGGACCCGGCCGCCGACTCGAAGCGCTGTCGGAGGATCTCGATCTGGCCAATCCGGAAGAACGGCCTCGGAAAATGCAACAGGTCTTGAAAGCCGCAGCCTTGTCCAGTCCTTTCCTGTCTCGGGGGCCTGCACCATACAAGCGCAGTAGGTATTTCCAAGTTCTGCCACTTTGGGCTGCACAAGAGGCAAGGAAGCAGATCATGTAGGCAGTCAGCACCGAGTTTGACCACTTCAAGGGTGTGCACCCAACTTACATGCACATCCCCTTCACGCCCTACTTCCCCGCATATCATGCGATCAGAAAAGTCAGAAGCTATTGTTCGCAAGAACGAGTGGGCGCACCCCTGCACCGAAACCATAAAACAACGCGCCCCGTTGCGGACTGTCAAGGGCTGCGGCAGTGAGCTGAGGGGATCCGCCCAAGCGCAGCGCACCAATGCAGTGACCGCAGCATCCCACTCCTGGCGCAAGATGCTGTACGGATGACTTCCACAAAAATTGCTGCCGAGGAAGTTGAACCCCTCACGGTCAGGGCCTGCTCTAGGTTAGTGGGATTCCAAACAAGGCAGTGGTAAGATGCGTGCTGCCAGACTGGTGGTGTGTCTAGAAGGCCCATTGGCCGGTGTCATGCAGGTTTGAGCGTGCGACTTTGGCATTCATTGGCATTCTAGAGCAGTGTACAGAGCTTCCAATCCCGGCGCCGCACCTGCAGCTGCATGAAGGTGATGCCGAGATTGAACTGGCCAGGCACTTCACTGAAAGAAGAAGTGTTGACTCATACAAAGAGCTCAGTCTTGGCACAAACTCAACCACACGAGGTCATGGACCATGCTGTCATGCTACATCATGCCACTGAATGCCGAACCCAGCCTGCGTCTTGCTGGAGTGTGGCTGACGCTCCCCATCCCGGATGAACAGGGTCTCTGACTTGGCGGACAAAACAATCTTGAGCTGAGGTTGTGAAGATACCGGAAAGACCAGCAAGCAGAAACTAAACTTGCGTGTCTGGTTTCAGCAACGCATTGCGATGTGCAGACGAATGTGGGCTTCACATCCGTACGTGCTTGTAAAGCAAACTTCCAAGCGAGGAACAACATCTGCAAGTAGCTTCGTACATGCATGTATACGTACATACATACATGCATACATACATACACATATTTGCATGATGAATAAATAATTTAAACATATATACAATGTATACATATATATATATATACACATTCATATATGTACACATACATACAGTGGTCGAAATCTGACATGAGAGTTTACACCAGGCAATCGTCAGCTACGCATACATGGAGTTGCCAGATGCAACCTTTCAGTTGCAGCCATGCTTGTGGCGATGGTGAGTGCCAAGCTTAGAGCATCTTGCAGCGCAGTGGAACCCTCACACCTGAGGCTGCTGCATCCTGCCAGTCGCTGACCCGTAGAACCGAGCGCAGGGTGAGGGCTGCAAAGGCGGAACAAACCTTGGGAGAAGAAGAGGAAAAGAAGACTACACGAACAACAGCAACAACAACAACAACAACCAGGTAACCACGACGAGGACGACTGCTACTACTATAAGTACAAGTGCAAGTACAAGCTAGTACTACTAGTACTACTAGTACTACTAGTACTACTACTACTACTACTACTATTACAACAACAACTACTACTATTACTTCTTCTGCTACTACCACTACTACCACCACTACTACTACTACTACTACTGCTACTACTACCACTACCACTACCACTACCACTACCACTACTACTACTACTACTACTACTACTACTACTACTACTACTACTACTACTACTACTACAGCTACCACCACCACTACTACTACTACTACTACTACCACTACCACTACCACTACCACTACTACCACTACTACCACTACTACTACCACTACTACTACCACTACTACTACTACTACTACTACTACTACTACTGCTACTACTACTGCTACTGCTACTGCTACTGCTACTGCTACTGCTACTGCTACTGCTACTGCGACTACGACTACTACCAACCACCACTAGTACTGGATACGAATACAGCGACAGCGACGGCGACAGCCGCATCCGCACCAGCAAGTCACAGCAAACGCGCAAGGGGTTGCTGGAAACTAATCACAAATACGCGCCAGTTAGCACAACCGGACAGTGGACACGAAAGGTTGAGCTATCAGCTGGAGTTTCCTCATAATCGCCTGTAGCCAGAACGGAACTGCAACCCAGCAAAAACCGGTCAGTGAGGTATAGCGAGGAACGACTTCAGCAACAGCCAATGCAAAGTCGCAGCAGCGAAACTGAAAGGAACTAATTAGGTAATACTTTCTGTATAGACGTTGCAAAAGCGAGCAGTGTTGGAAAACGAAGCTGGAGCTGTAGCTGCTCATGGTGTAAAACGCCCATCAAGAGTATCCGCTTTCCGAGGCCCTGGCCAGGATTACAACCTTGAACGCACGCCGCATCGCCTTCATCAAACCAGCACTCTCTAGCCTCTCGTGCTCTCCCAAGGCTTCCGTGGCCTACAACTTCACAGCGCTAAGTGGCCAGAAAGCCGAAGCCTCTAATCAAAACTAGGAATAATATTAAGTACTGTTTGTGTTAAACCTATATATTTGCATAAGTGTGTATGTGTGCGCATATATATATATATATATATATACATATCGCTTTTTCTGCTTGCGTGCTAGGGGTCTGGTGACAAGAAGTCCCCTGCCCCAGGGCGGGCCTACCCACTGGCACACTGCATCTCTGTTCCTCTCTCTCTGTGAGCTTCCGAAAATAGGGGACCCTAACATAGTACACTAATGTACGCTAAATGTACGCTAAATAGTAGGATCCGTATTATAAGCACCCTAAAATAAGGTACCCCCAATGGGGAAACCCCCAGACCCTAAACCCTTTATAGAACCCTTACAGGTCCCTTTAAGGAACCCTTATGGATCCCTTTAAAGGTACCCCTAATTTTCGGGAAATCCCCCCCTCCCCCCCCTCATATCTTTGCTTCTTTGGGCCATCAAGAGCCTCGCCTCGGCTCGGCCGCTGCCGACACCCCAGCTGTGGATCTGCTGCCCAAGGACCTGCGGTTTAGGGTATCATGGGAAACTAAAGGTTATATAACCTTTTTGGTTATATGATATAGGGATTAAAAGGGTATCATGGGAAACTAAAGGTTAACCTTTTTGGGTTATATAATATAGGGATTATGTAGGGGCTATAAGGTTACCTACTCTACTACAAGGAGGATCTGCGGCTGTGAAGAAGCTAGGATGCCCAGTGACTGCACAAAGGGAATAAGGGTACTACTTACTACTGGGAATCCTAGGAAACGAGTGCTTACATGCAAAGCTTCCCTTTTTGGCTTCTTTTGAGTGGGATTCAATCACGACTTCGGAATGTGGCGGGCTTCGGAATCCACAGAATGCCTGAGGAGCACCGGCACGACTGATGTGCCGAGTGCCATTTTGCTCTGGACCTTGGCAAGAGATCGCAGGGATCCATCAAAACAACTGCAGCGTTTGCAAACATTTTTCGCACTGCTTTGGCGACAGATGACTTAGTCTCCGACGTCGCGGCAGAACCCACGGTCTACTCTGAGCACCTTGAAGGTAAGCGTGTAGCACCTCGCAAACTGGTCACAACGGCCCATGCACTGCGACCCTCGTCACGAAGTTTCAAGCCTCTCTCCAACTGCATTCTGAGCCCCTTCCCACGATTTGCACAATGACAAACTGAAGGCATCGAGGATGCGGCCACGATCACAGCAAGGCAGTAGCCAGCAGATGGCACATAGAGCAGGCGCTCTCCTACAACCTCGGCAGCGACTGATGGCACGACCGTGCGAGATGATAAAGATGCACCTAGCACAGATCACTCTTTCTTGGGCCCAGACAGTACCTACTGGAAAGAGGATGTTGCCTTCAAGAGCGCAGGTGTGCGGTGTGCAAAAGCTCAACCGGCTTGTGACAGCAACCGTAACAAGAGCTACGGAGATTGCAACAACTGTCCCCATAACTTCAATTCCGGCAGCCTGTGTTCCGTTGTATGCTTGGCCATGTACAAACTGGGGAGCGGACTAGCCGGGAGGTATGAAATCACCTCGGCATATGGAAATTTGCCCGAGCTCCCAGGGTTCAGTCTTGTGAAGTCTGAACGACGAAAAAAAGCAATGGCCTTGGAATGTCAGAAACGCAAAACTCCAGTTTACATGTCCTGGGCACAGTTGCAAGGAACAGAATATTTATTGCAATTGAGAAGGTGTCGTTTAGAAGCCCTGCCCGAACTTCCGAGCAAGAAGCCGGGCTTCCAAGACTTACAAACTGGGATCCTACCATGACCCAAAAATTCTCAAAACCCTTTTTTGCAGCAGGCCTCGTTGTCCAGCAGCCCGGTTGCAGCAAATTTTCAAAACCCTAAACCCCTCAACCCTAAATCTTTGCAACCCAAAACAGCTTGGCCCAGGGCCAGCAAAGCGAGCGCGATGAGACCCGCGCGTCTGTGCCGAGCCGGGAGCTGCCTCGCAGGGCCAAGTCGTGACACGAAAGCTTGCAGGGGGCATTCTGATACTTGGATGGTTGTCAAAATTATGGTCCCTTTTTGGGTCCCTAATATAGTGCGGCACCTAATTTTTGGGGTACCGAAGCATGAACCATACAGTAATTTTGGCAAGCACCCACTTTGTTGAGGGACAGGCTGGATTGAGCATTTGAGCATTTGTGGGCATAGGGCGGCTCAACATGCAGGCTCAGACTCAGACTCAACCGAGGGCAAGATGGGTTTGAAATGCATTGACTACATGGGCAGGAGCCAGCTCAGTGGTGTTGTGTCACGCCTGGGACACGCACCTAGCATCAAAAAACACAGCAAAAATTTAGATGCCGAGGCGGCGAACAGGCTCGAACTATCTCCGGCAACCCATGCCGTGAAGTGTCCTCTTAGCTCCAAGAAAAGTCCAACATCAAACATCAGGGCCCAAGCATGACGAAGCTGACCGTTCCAATGGCACCCACGTAGGCGGCCAATGGAAGGAGCATTCGGCAGTCCGTCATCTCACGCACCTTGATATGCAACGAGCGATTCAGCACAGGAGCCCGATATATCCCCACAGATTGTGGCAAGATGCAAGATTGACCTGCAGACTCGGGATGGCGTAATTATTGTAATTGATGGACAGCTCTTCCAAACTTAGTCAGCTACGATCGGGATGGCATCCATGGAGTAGTCGTAGCCTCGACATTCTGACAAAACAGGAAGCTGTTGCTGCCAGCAAATGTCAGTTTACGAGATTCATCCACTGCCAGCTCCGCGAGCTTTTCGGAACCCTCTCATTCAGAAATGCATGCTTCGCAGAACCGTGGAAGTATCATCTGAGTTCCACACACAGATACTGTGGCCAGACCAGCAGCCTTGAGAAGCAGAAACCCCAACCCTCATCCGGTCATGTCCAAATCGATCGACGAGGCGTTGGCCTCATGTACACGCCATGCAGAAAAGAGTAGGACAGGACCCGAGCCTGCGGTGCACTGACTCAGTTGGGCGTTTCCGAAAATTAGGGGTACCGTATTTTGGGATCTAAAAACAAGGATCGTACTATTTCGGGTGCTATATTAGGGTCCCCCCTATGTTCGGAAACTCCAAGCTCTGAACTCCCACTGGTAGATGCGAAGCTGAACACACTGCACCGCACAGACACTAGCAGCTAGCAGAAACTACGAACTACTTACTAGCGCTTCGTGGTACTCTAGGTACTATATGCATGTATGATGATGTATGTATGCACATACACGTACGTATGTATGCTACTGCCCGGGTGTCTTTGCTGTTTTTACAAAGCAGACTTGGAATCGCGGTCCGAAATTGGCCACATGAGCAGACTATAGTTCCATCTCGTTCTTTACAACTCGTGGTAAATGGAAGTGCTTCAATATTTCCATTGGGACAGGCTGTGTTGTGCCATTTCGGTATTGCGTTGTTGAGCCTGTGCTGAATACAGATCGCAATGCCTTGCAAACGACACTAATCACTACGTGTTGCCATGCTGATATAAGTACAAGTGGTCATCATGTGCCCACGTAGTGCGTTCCGTAAGACTGGGGCAGACCGCATCCATGCCGTCACTACACATGAGCCTGCCTGCTATACAAACACTTTCCAGGTGTTCGAGCATGGCACACTGCAAGATACCACTTTGCAATAGCAATAGTACTTCAGCTGGTTGTATGTGTCGGGGGTGTACCACATTACGTAATATATGCTGCGGTTACCAAGCAGGTCCAAGCACTACAATAGATTCTTCTTCCTCGGGTCATTTCGGTACTAAGTATCTCCTTACCCACGACGGAAACTCAAAGCAGCTTGTAAAAGTGAGAGTAGCCGCAGGCGCAGAAAATCGCTGACAAAATGACCAGGGATTTCGGATGTCTTGACCGCTTGGATGTCATCAATTGTTGCTTCAGTTTGGCGTTGTTGGTTTGCTTTGCTTTGCTCCGGGGTGTGGATCGTGGGCAGTCCCCACGACCCGTGCTGTTGTTGGTTCTCTCTCTCTGTCTCGCTGCCATTGCATCCAGAGTGTCTAGCAGCGCCCTGGAGGCCCTTCACGAAACGAAAACAGCAACACTTCAGGGATTCCAGCAAAATCCGACAAGAAACACTATCAATCATGTCAGCATCATTAACTGTCCACACATATGTCTGACAAAATACTGTTAGCATTACCATTATTATGATGAGATAGTGAACAGATCAGTACTCCTGTATTTTTGCGGGAACGCGCCTATGAAACTAGACCTTGACTGAGCAAGCAACTATCTACTTGTTTCGTTTGCTGGTGCAAATCCAAAGGTAACTTGACCGGAGAAGCACAGATTCAAAATGTCCCTAATCCCTAAACATCTCATTTTGCAGCTGGGCTCCGCCCACGCTCTGAAGCTCAGCGAAAAGTTACGTAAATGCTGCTGGCAGTTTGCATCGGCAGCTCCCGCAAACCTTCCACTCCGACTCGAAGCTGATCGGATTGTCTTGGGGCGACCTGGGCGTTGGGCACCCGTGGCACTTTTGCAGCCGGTGATGCTGCACTGACTGGGCCGTTAGCATGTTCAGCTTGGTTCCTCCAGTGTGGCGATAGCGGGCGACGAAGACACAGATGGTGCCTCTGATGCAAATTGGTTGACAGCGGCTGACGCAATCAGACTTGGAGTGGTTGGGGTCGGCGGAGAAATCCCTGGAGCACATCAACTGCCATATCTGTTAATGACACAGATCTTCCAGGCTTCTGGCTGGCCAGCAGTAGTCCTACCCGCAGCCTGCAACAGTGTCTTGTTTACACCCTAATTGGACAGCAGTATACAGCAGTCCTGAAAATTGGGGGGACATGCAAAGGCACTACGGTAGCTTTGACAGCTGCTGTATCACCTCCTCGGGACGCAAGGCAGACTCAGACACCGCAAAGCCGGCTGCGACGGATGCCGTATCGCAGGACGGCAAGGCATCGCAAAGATCGGAAGACTCGAACGATCCACGTTTCGCAAGGGAGCCTCAAGCGCCGAATGACACCTCAGCCATGCTATGCACGGGAGCCTGCAACTTCCCTCATCGAAATCATGGAAACCCCGCGGAGCCCAGCATTGGACTGTGGAGTCTGTGGGTGTCTAAGCAAGGACGGGACCCCGGCGCCGTCCCAAACGCTCTTTGTGATGATGCGCTAGGGCCTGTCCAGTCGCGCTCTTTACTCTTTCCCGTGTTGTCGCCACTTGAAGTCATTACCGGAACGCGTCTGCGACCTGTGCTGTCAGGAAGTCCAGCAGCTCCATCAAGAAAGGAATTGCGAATAGTGTGAAGCCGGACTCCTGCGGCAAAACCAGACTGCTCGACTGCGCCACAATACCAAAATCGGACAAGCCGGGGCCGCCTTGCACAAGCCGCTGGCCTGCACCCAGGGTTCGCAGAAGCATTAGAAGGGCTCGCAGAATCTTTACGTCTAACTCTGCTACTCGGTGTTTAGCAGAGCAGGACAGGCGGCAGATGCACCCCGTAAGACTGCAGTCGCACTTCTGGGCTCCTTGCGACAATCAGTGCCACCGGCACGGCCAGCCAAACCGGATTCTGAGATGCACCTTGCCAGGGTCCATATGAAGTCGCAGCATCTGCCGTGGAGGATTAAGATGGTCGGTCTGAGAGATGGATCACGCCTTCCAAACGCAGCTTGAGATGTAATAGGAAGCCTAAATGAGACGTCCTGTTCGGCATTCTCGCATCATGGGTTCGAAGTTGCTTTGGGCGATCTCGGTGAGACTCAAAGCAAATCAAGCAAACCCAGGGAATCTACTGGAGGGAAGAACAGCAGACTGAAGTCGATCCCTCAAAGCTTTCTGCGCCTTCGAAGAGAAACCAACCACTAAAACTAAGACTCTGTTCAACTAACCACTATCACTACCCACCTTCGCCCAGAGAGGGGGTGAAGCAGTGCGAATCGAAAGGCCGGACTCGAAGGCTCGTCCAAAGAGGCCTTCAGGCAAGGCTCGTGGGAGGGTTTAGGGCTCACGAAGGCAGCGCGAGATTCAGGGAGTCGTCATGGGTCCTCTGGTGATACTTGTCGATGCTTTTCCCAGGAGATGGAACCAGCGCAAAAGAACACATCGCACTGTGGCCCTGGTTAGGGCATCTGCAGGCGCATCGTGTTCCAGTCCGTGTCGGGTATTCCCCGATGATCACCTTTGGTGATGTCGCATATATCTGCGACAAAACTTGCCTGACAACTAAAGTGCAGCCAGCCACTTCACCTGTTGCTCCTCAGGCGTTTGCTCACTACAGCATGAGGTCTCTCAGCCTAAGTGGGCTTTTGCAAGATGAATTTGATAATACATCAGAGCCCCCTCAAGTTCACCAAATTTGGGCATCCCCCTCACGAGGTTTTCTGCTGAAGATGATGACATCCTGACCGATACTCGTTTCGGCAGGGCTCCACTAAGACGTGGGCTTTCGCAGAGTCCTTCGTGCCACTCCTCCATACCTCTTGCTCCGTCTGGGAGGTCGTGAATAGCATCTCTGAGCTGGGACATTGCACACTTCCATTGCCCATCCACAGCCCGCCCGTTCACAGACGTCAGAACATTGCCAGGCTGGATGGCTGTGAATGCAGAAAGATCTTCACTCACCTGCGTCACTGTCAACGGGCTAGAATGGGAAAATCGCATGCGCAACGGCTTTGACCTCAGAGTTACTTCTGCCATGGTTCCGTCCGGCCGGGCGAAGGCTAATTGAACACCTTCAGTGGCATGCGGGCCAAGGCCGCGATCGTGGTGCCCTTCACCAGGCACTGCCTCTCCGCCTTGTTCCACGCCTTCGGTCGCCGTGGTGTTTGCCGTGTCGTGGGAAAGACCTCCTTGTGACAGCTCTGACTCAAGGGCGTGCTTCAGCACGTCGTCGGAAGCATTATTGAGCTGAGCTGTATCGATTTCAGATTCATGTGAAGCTGGCGTATCCGACGGCGCATCACAGCAGGCGAAGATCATGCCGCTCTTAAAACGGAACGACGCAGAAACCCGGGTGTCAACTCCCTGGCTGCTTCTACTTCACACTCACTTGAGACATCGGGGCTGAGGAAATTCGATTCACTTGCAACCAAACTGACTTGGACGCACGATGTTTGAATCATCCCCCGGTTGCATTCTTGAGAAGGATCTTGCCTTTGCACAGGGAGGCCTCAGGGAACCAGGCGGGCTGAAGAACACGCCGTAGGCGTTTATTGCCTGCCAGACCGGCAAGGCTTTTCTGGAAGACCGGACCACCAAGCTCAGCGCCCAGCCATAAGCCCCAGAAGGCAAGCTAGGATGTCCTTGGTAGCAGCAGTGGCAGTCGGGAGAGCGGGGTTTCGAGCTCTTACGAAGGCACGCTGTCAGGATGGCAGGAGACAGAGGTGCAGAGAGAGGTGGAGATAAAACAATAAGATATCAAAAAAGTATAAAAAAAGTCATCCCAACAAAGCACATGAACACGACATCAGGCAAACAGCAGGCAAGCAGACCGACAGGCACCCCAACAAGGATACACGGGCACGACACCCTCTGATCATTGTGGCTGCTTTCCTAGTCCATTCAATGTCTGCACCCCATGCTGTCTCAGGGTAGCACTTGAATCGCAGATGACAAGCGGCAAATTTCAAAGACAACAATCAAGTTGAACCAGACTGCATCTTGCAGTCACATTCCGTAGGCGATCCGTAGGGTTTATTGAAATAGCCAAGAGCGAAGTGCAAGATGTGAGCTACATCTACGGCTCATGGTCTATGACGACACTGTCATCACAACAACGGGCAGGCGGGTTAGTCAGTCAGACCCTCCGCCCAGCCCGAAGTGGCTGAGGAAGCACCTGCAAAGCCTGAGCCCTCCACTTGGTTGAACTAGCCTACAAAGCTAGCAGCCAAGCCCAAACAACGAACCAAACAACCAACAAAGCAACACGAGAACAGTGCACTTCGGCCCTAAGCCCTCGGCTGCGCGACAGACGAGGTAGAGGACCTCGGATGAATCGCGACCCGAGCCCCGCAAGGCCAGGGTACCTCATGCCACTGGGACTCGACTGCCACGAAGCCTGAACACCAAGCCCAAGATCTGGCAACCTCGATCACTGAAGCCTCTGATCTGAGGGTATATCTCTCACTGCAAGAACCCTTCAAGCCTAGCCTTCACCTGCGACACGCTGTAACCACCCGCCTGGGCCCCAACGAGACCCCACAATGTCTCACATTGTCATTACATTGTCCCCCCCACCCAGCCCCCCAAAACTTGGCAGAACACATTCTCTGTGTGCACGGGATGGATCCCGAAGAAGACGGAAGCAACGACCTGGCTCTGACTTCAAATGGCCTGCTTTGAGGTTTTGGGGTTAGGGGCTTAGGCTGGTTGTTGTCACCGCCTCTTTTTCCATCCGCAGCTACTCCGAGGACGGTGGGCTTTTTGTTTTGATGGCCCTTTCCGCTCTGCCTGCACTCTGGGGCTGGAGGTGTCACTTCGTCACACATGGGTTCTCTGTGCTGTGAAGAGGACATTGAAAGGCCAAGTGCGGGACTGCCCAGGAGCCCGGCAAGCCCAGAGCCACCGTCGCCTCGTCTAGACTCTGTCTCTTGTGGGATAGCTCGCCCACTTGCCAGACGGGATGCTTCAAACTGCTGAGAGCCCAGCAGTGCGTCCTCTTGGCAATTCAACACATGCGGCTCAACATTCCATGTCAAGTGGCGCTTTCAGAGTCAGCTCTCGAACTCAGAGCTACACGTCAGCTGTGTCCTACAAGAAGCGAAGTCAAGCTGTGAAGGAGCACGTTCGTCACCTCAGCCAGCTCTATACACTGCTTCCCTGTAGCTTTGGATAATGCCCGTTCAATGGCACTCAGCAAGTCAATCCTCACTCACAGCACCAGATCTGCGAGCTAATACTTGGCTCGGTATGTTTCGGCGCTCACACTCGGACAAACCAGGCGAGGCATGTGGGTTCGGAGTCATACCAGGTGAAACTTGACTAAGAGGAGGTGTCACTGCGCGCACCAACAAGCTTACTTCAACTGTTGCTCGGTATGTTTAAGTGTGAGAGCTCGAGGCTCCAGGCGTGAAGCTATCACATCATGCCTTGAGAACCGCACGTGGAAGCCAGAGGAATCGAGACCGTGCAGCAGATAGTTCCATCCTCGTGTGCTCGTGACGATGCCGAAACTTGTGATTGCATATTGTTTCTGGTGAAGAACACCATAATTCCCTTTTTTTGCATCAGGACTTGTGCAATCGCCTGAAGACCATAATTCCCTAATCTTTGAAACCGAGGCGGCTTACGGAATGTCAGCGTGGTGAGAGGCCGAAAAGACTTGTTGGTCCAGCCCGACCTAAGCGTTGCGGTCGAGCAGTGGCTGCCGAATTTGGCCCTTCGCGACTTTCGACTCTCGCGCATTCGGCTTTCAATATGCTGTTAAGACAGGCCCGCAGCACGGTTCAGCCTGCTTCGGGAACTACATTACGAGCAGCGTATGCAGAATGCTTGGCAAAGGCATGTTCAGGCCCAGGAGCCGCATCGGAACATATCGGAACTGTAGATATGTGAGCAGAGATTCATGGATGTGGCTCCTAATATTTCTTCTGCCACCGGTACAACCAACAGGGCTCTGAAAGCCTCAGATGACGTAGACTGAAATAGGTATTGCCTCGACTAACTACGGACAACCCAAACCCGAAAGCAATTAGTTCAACCCCAAGCCCCAAACCAAACATGCAGGTACTAATTACATCGAAAAAACCCTATAAGCCCTAAGCCCTAGACTGCATCTTGAACAAAACGAAAGGAAGCCCCACGCCCCCAAACCCTCAAAGCAAAGCCTCTTCCGTACTGAACTCGGACACGTACGGCCAGCAGACGGCGTGTGTATGTGCATGCATAATCAGTCGCACATACATACGTACATACATACCGACATACATTCATGCATGTACGTATGTACGTATGATCGTGCCTAGCATGATTACACCGTCAGCATAGTGCAGCGTGGTACAAAATTAGTACGAGTTTCGATTATGCAACGCAGAACATTGCATCACATCATGTCATGCATCATGTACTGTATGTCTTAGGCCGCATACCGTGCATATCGGTACGTTGTACACCATGAACGGAAACACATATGAAACATGTCGTATACCACATATCGTAACATGTGACCAGGTGACATACTATTCTACATCGCAGTGTGTTAGATTACAGCACTTCAGTTCATAGCATATCATAACATCTCGTATCATGTCCTATCCTATTAACTATATCATATGGTATCATGTTTAGGACATTACGTGGGAGTCTTTATATCCGGCCACGCCGCTACGCTAACACCTATATTTTGTCTACCGACAAGAGCTTCTGCATATGCATAAAATGTAGTTAGATAGACAGATCGGTAGCTAGCTCGATGGGTACATGCTTTAGATGGACAGATAGACGACATGTGTGGATGGGAGTTGAGGTTCTCAGACCGTCTAGACCGTTAATGAAATGTTTGGCCCACAAGGTACCAAGCAACCTTCCTTGTTCGCAGCTGCGGGGGCGTCACATCTACTTGATCTGCTGCAGCACATAGATCATAGACCCACAAGACATGGTAGAGCAGGTGCGGTGAGAATCCAGCCCGTGCATCGGAAGGCCCCAGAAGTCTCTTCGCATCAGCTCGTTGAAGGAGAAAGCCTCCCCAACCACCTCAGGACACAACTGTCGCCTGCTTGCAGGAAGGGGACCAGCGCTCTTATGCGACCGATCTCAAAAGCACCACATGCGAGCACTGTGAGCATGCCAAGCTCAAGGCGTTTGGATTCCTGGAAACACCTACCGTGTCATCCATGATGAAGCCAGCGTACCTCACTCCGAAGCAGGTTCTGGGCGATGACCGGCATTCGTCTGGATTAAACCTTTACTTGTGAATGACATATCAGCATCAACGTGCCTGATTATCCATCTCCGAGAGTAGAAATCACGCCTGCCCAGCTATTACAAACAATAAGTGCCAAGTCCCAACATCGAGTTTCCGAACCTGCTTAAGCGAATAGAAAAGCATAGTGTTCCGAACTAGCTGCACGGAGCCCTCTGTGCCAGCATGGATATCCGGAGCGCAGGCACACTTTTTGTGTCGATGAGTTTGAGAAAACTGGTGCAACTGTCTGTACGCAATAATGAAAAGGGAACTGGTGTGCTGTGCTGTACTGAAACTGGATCTACGAGTTTCAGAGGACTGGTCCGGCGACCGCTGCAGCTGCAGTGGTTCGTCTCTCATGGGTCACATACTTCGATCTGCGAGTGGGCGTCCGATTCGGGCGTTGCCTCTACTATTCGGGGACTTGAGTTCAATGCCTCTAATTTGGGGGCGGGGTGCCTTGCAGCGGGAGCACGTCCGACCTGTGCTCATCTGGCGCCAGCGAATTACATATTCTAAAAGAAGAAGCCTGGGCCGAGATTCACGCCTGACCTTCCACTTCGTTCTAACAGGTACATCACTGCCACTTCCTCCATACACAATCTACAGCACCCCTGCGACGAATTCGCGCACAACGCGGTTGGAAGTGTTGTTCCGAATGGCTGGGAACCCATGTCAGAACACCGATACACACACACAGATATATATATATATATATATATATATATATGTATATGTATATGTATATGTATATATATGTATATGTATATGTATATGTATGTATATATATACACATGTGTGTGTACGCATGCACACGAGTAAAAACGACGGAAGAAGTGCCGTCCAGGCACTCTCATGTTTGGGTTGTGTGGGGAAGCCTACGGCCCTGCGATCTACAGTCAACAAGCTACCGACACATTCCAGTGAGTGCAGTTAACCTGGGAGAGAATCTCAGTTCCAGTATCAGACCGAAGCTGGTTCTCGTGGCACTATAAATTCATCTGTGGCCGAGCGCGAATCTGCTGCCCCAGAACGAGGCCTGCATCCATCTGCTCCCATAGCAGAGCTCGGAGCGATGCCCACTGCGCAGGGTATTTGATTTTGTGTCTCAGTCAGCCTCATAGCCTGTCGTTCAGAAGCAAAGTCACACGATCGAAGCATTGGATACTGCTCAGTGACGCACCAACAGCACATGCCGGAACTGTCAGCTGAGCCTGAAAACATTTTCAAAGACCAGAACCTATGGTCCAAGAAGCCATGCTCGCGATGAATACGTCTGAAAGACAGAATCCCCTTCGCCTGCACAGTGTCCCAACAGCATGTAGCACTTGCAACGTTGTGGCTTTCCCCTCATTGCGCCATGTTCTGAAGCAAGCGGCCGTGTTAAACACCGACGCCCCACACCCGTAGGAATGCAATCCTCTGTGCTCTCTTTACAGGCTCAGCAGACAAACTGCCATCAGCTCCCAACAAGACATGTTGGTCCGCTACTCTCACGCAGATCCCCGGCGTGCTGGCATACTTGCTGCGGGGTGTACAGCCCAAAAGACATACATGCTTGTAAGAGCATGTAAACACGTCTTTGCCGGAAAAACCGTGCAGCAACAGTGGAAGTCTGATCTGCTACTACACACATATCTGCAGTGACGGCGGTTTGCCAACCAGGAATCTGATATGAGCGCAGAATCGCAATACTGCTCTGATGCAATTCCCCATGATATCCATGATGAAGTCCGGCGTCTGACTGGAATCTGCTGTGTTCACTTTCGGGGAACTGCTCGTTGCAACTCATTGATAAAGCACCAGGTCCTTCGCAGTGGTTGCTCTGAGCTGCCTCCCTCCCTGCACTTGCTGCATGGACGTACACCCGGAAGAACCGAAAGCAGCATCGCAAATTTCATAATCGGCCTCATATCATCTATGTCATCTGCGTATGCTTGGGTGGCAAATGTTGCGTTACAAACGTCGGTACGGGGTTGCCAATACACATCGGGGGCCTACGTCCTACACAGCTTGCAGGTAGAGAGGCACGAAATGCCAGGTAGCTGAAGCTTCACGTGAGCGTAACGTTGCAACTTTGACAAAGTCACCCTGCTGGTGGTGGCACAGAGACAGGCTCAATCTACACGACACATTCCAGCATGGTTAGCAGGCTACATCTGAAGCTTCCAGCTTGGAGCTCGGCAGGCTCAAGTCGTGAATCTGCATGTTCTCATTGTCGTGTACACGTCGGTCCGCAAAGAATCATAGAATCATAATTCAAACAATGCAGGCAGGCATCTTAATGACCGGGAGAGCCAAAGACAAACGAAAACCACGAAGCCTTGATTTACTGTGAAACGCCATCTCAGCCCGTGAAATGAATGCTCTCCCAAGTCACGTCAGCTGACAGAATTAAGGATGCCATTGACACGATTATTTCACAACCTCCTCCGCTGTCACAGCCGGTTTTCATAATCTCCAAAAAAAGGATCGCGGGTGGAACTCAATCCGCACCCACGCGACCATGGAATGCTTCGGAGTCATGGCCGGAGTAGCATGCATTGCATGGGCGACAAGCAAGGAAAAGGATATGCTGTCTGAACCAGCAACGCTTCATGGTTGCCTGTCAGAGCGGCTTTGCACACCTTGTATAGCTCGTGAAGACGGTGCATGCCTGCTTTGGCTGTAGCGCTGCCCTCACACTTCATGCGGCATGTAGTATCGCAAGGTTCCGTCCACACTTCCGTGCACCATCCAACATGAACCCTGAAGCGTGGTTCTCTCTGAACGGGCTTCAACCCACAAGACCATAGTTCTGCGAAGCGAAGTACCCAAGACCCAGACTCTAGACTCCACTCGAAGGACTACTCGCCACGATCCGAAGACAAGCGCTCTTATCGTGCTCCCTGTAACGAATGCAGGATGTGAGGGCTGCAGGCACTGTCTGTAATTTCAGAGGCCGACTCTCCTCTTCCGAGCTCTTCCTGTGCTGAGGTTGTTGGCAAAACACTGTAGATGACTCAGCTCTCTGCATGGGCCTAGGTCCTAGGTTTCTATGCCATGCTTGTTGTGTGGTGAAGCTAGAACGACCTACTGCTCGTACTGCACCAACATGCAGGCTGAGCGAGTCATCCCAGTTCGAGTGAATCCGAAGCTGCCCATCAAACATGCTTCTCTGCCCTGTCATGAGTCTCTGTAGAGCAATGAAGGCAGAAACGAAAGATGTTTTCAAATCGCCGAGGCATCTCCGGGCTTCACCTCTAATAGCCGAAGGCCGACGCTGTACTTGAGCTGAGATGCAAACTGCGAGCTCTCACGCCATGAGCTGAAACAAAGTTGCCGCGTCCTACATCGTCCTACGAAATCGCGGGGCCAAGGCCGTCCGGAGCTTGTGCTCGGAGGCCTCCGCCTCGGGTGGTGGAGGACGGCTCTGGGCGTGGTCCACACACTGACTCACGATCTATCTATCTATCTATACACCTCTTAATGAACCCTGCCCCTGCCATGTACAACACGACCTACAGAACAATCCGAATGCCAAGATGACATCCGCCACCTGAAATTAAAATATTCAACTTTGCAGCGCCTAAGTGCTGCAGCTGTTGTAGGACTTGTCCTGAGGTTCCTTCTGGAATCTGGTAGGGGCCAACTAGCCGGGCGCAAGGTTGCGAGCTCAGGTGATCTCAGGGATTGAATATAACATCACGTAACTCGGCATCGGCCACTACCGCATCTAGGCAGCATGAATCTTCACCATTTCATCTCGATCTGTCAATACGAAGGTTAGCCGCACCAACGCCAGGCAGCGATAACGATGCCTTTCACACTCCAGATTCCTCCGTGGAACCAGTCAGTGCCAGCATTCTCCTACCATCTCTTGATCGGTCCAAGGCCCAGCTCAGAAACCTCAACACCCCAACCCTCCATCTTCCCTTCAAACATCTTCAGACTCTAGCTCCAGCTGCCACTGGCTTGGTTGGTGCGACTGCCGTCAAAGAGTGGCTGGTCTGCGAGCAGAGCAAAAAGTGCAGGCATCCTACAGCTTCTCACGACAGGACAGGTGATGCGCTTTTTCGTTCAGGGTTTCGGGGTGTGGTCACGTGGGGTCGTTTGTGTTACGCTGATATTGCTTGCAACAGCCCTGGCTTGCTTGTGAGCGACAATCATCACTACCGGTGTTGCTTCCTCTCTCCTCAGTCCTAAACTACCACTATGCAGCTCGAATTGAAAATAGCTGCATCTACAGTTGAAAAAATCTGTGCCCCTGGTAAAACCCACTGTTGATCGACTGTTCCTCCATCACTGGCGACAACAGCGCTTTCGCTGATATAGGTAGTGTAGGACTGCTGTCTTCTCAGGATAATAGCCATCACAATTACTATTTCATACTACCGGCCCGTAGTTAATTCACTTGCTCGCATTTGTGCCCATGTTGTTTTCGCGCGGTTTGATCCTCGTAATGGTCGTGACAGTTGTAGTTGAGTTGAGGGTGGTGGCCATCATCACATGGCCGAACATATGTCGCTCCTTCTGTGTCTTTCAATTCTCACCATACCTTTGCCCGGTCGAGAGAACATGCGACATGCGCAGAAACAGCTGAGGAGGATGCCTACAAGGTGACACACGGGCTGCTCCCAGCTGAGCCACTGAGTCAGCCCAAAAGCTGCTTCAAAAAAGCATCAGCCGTTATTCCGCGTGCATGAGACGGCCGGGGCAGAGTCTGCACCACGTAGCAGTGTGTCTCCACCTGCATGCCCTAGCACTTGCCATGGCATGCTGCACTTGAGCCAGCAATTACTTTCTGGTGCGTGGTGGACACACCAAGGACTATGGACTCTTCCAACAATTCCAGGGACCTGGGGGAGGCCCGAATCAGCAGTCATCTTCATCTTCTTGCAGAGGCACAAGAACAGGAAGTTGTGAGGATTTTCGTTGAAATCTTCAATCTGCTGCATCACTGAAGTACTGAGGAGAGAAGGAGGGCCTCCCTGTTAAATCAATTACCCAAACAAGCCATGGAAAATCTTAACCCTGCATCATGAAGAAGCCCATCCATGGGACTGCGCGTACCTTGTGCGGACGCAGAAGCACAGAGGGGAATTGATGGTGCATGGTGGCCTATGGGCAAGGCCACTGTGGGCACTGACTCCTGTCGAATTGGTCTACGATATTCTACGATTCAAGTTGACAAACCAGCCATGCAATTATTCGATTGCAACACCTGGTATTGAATCAGGGCTTGGACAAGGCAGCTCGGCGGCACTACCTGCATTCACTCTGTAAGTCGCGTACTGCGCACAGATCCGCTCAGCCGCCCATCTGCAGGTCAATTGTACTCTGAGAGTTCGACCTGCGACGAGCATTGCCACTTGTCCGCACCACACAAGATCATAGAAAAGCAGGTGTGCACAGTTGGTCGGGTGTGGGCAGCGTCTAGACTGGGCGGAAGTTTCGATTGGCTTCAACAACTTACTAGTAGCATGGACATAGTGCCCAAGATTCGCATGATGCCGGAATGACGAGGGATCGGGCCCGCGAGCACTTGTCTGCCGCGGCTGTGCACTCTATCGTCGATGGATACAGTGCAGCCATGTGGCGACACGCCAGCCTTTAGCATCTGGCTTCGCACCAAGGACCTCATATTAATTGACGAAACAAATTTCAAACGGTCAACAGTTGTTGAGCAACTGGCCTGGATCAAGCTGGCATGCAGCATGATATTATGATGCGAACGCATTCGAAGCATTAGTTGCAGCTTTCCGGCAATGAAATGCAGGCATGTTGCTGATGCGTCCTGTTGATCATAGCAACCCATAGCTTCATTGAGGCTACATCCTCCCAGAGTCCTGCTGTCAACGCAGTCACAGAGATCAGATAGGCTCCAGGTTTGGGCTTTCCATCTCTGGTTAATGAAGTTGCCAGAATCACCAGCGACAGACCTAAGGTATCACGCAAAAGATCATAAGTCGTATGCAGCACTGTAGAAGCCATGAAGGTTTCTGCGTTGGCACCCACTCTCGCCGGCTGGCCGCTGAAAGGGGTCGGGCCAGGTCCACAAGGTCCTACACCGCTGCCGGCACGGAAGGTCGTGTGCAGAACGCCGGTGGAGCTCCACACACACCTGCTTTCCAAGCTCGGTCGCAATTGAAGCCCTCCGTCTTGCACAGCATTGTGTTTCGTCGCACTGACCTTTCTAGTGCGACTTTGCACCTACCACTGCAGCCGCATGGACGCATTGTTGCAGGCTGTGGCAAGTCAAACTTTCGGCGATGGTGCATTTTCGGTTTCATTCCCTACAGGTACCCGTCCTCACTGTTCAACCTGTCGTCACTCAGCCATTGGGGATGTCAGTGGGATTCTGCACCTACCATTGTGCTGGTATGCATGCGTGATTGCCAATCTCTCAGCCGTGGTGCATTCTCATAGTTTTCGCTCCATATCCTACCAGTACGAGTACCCGTCCTCTCTGTGCAATGTGTCTTCGCTCAGAGATTGGGGATGTTGGACCATTCGTTTGTTCACTTGCGGCTAGAATGCATCTGCAGCTCTCGATTGTCCTACATGCAGACACACACACACACACACACACACACCAGTCCCAAAACTTTGGCCAAGTGTTCCACCAGTTTCAGCGGGCACTGTAAGCAGCGCAGTGTACAGATGTACAACCGACATAGACCCCAATCAAAGAGCAGAGAATACTATAACAGATACATAATAGGTCCCGGTGACCTTGATCCACAATGCCGGTTATATAGCTCAATCCCAAAACTGCCCCCTCCCTGCACCTGAATGTGAAGGTTCTCTCACCTCGGGCGAGGATATGGTGTAGCATCTGCTATTGCAGAGGAAAAAAGCCCCAAACTCTCTGGACTTTCAAGGCTAAGCCCGTGGCGGCAAAAGCCCGGATCCTGCACAGCCTTTGCGGCTGAGGCCAGCAAAACTCTGACGAAGGCGCCCCCCTGCCCTCTGCTGGAGCGGTTCCGGGTCGCAGGCCCGCAGTTCTCTCAACTTCAGCACTTCCAAAGGAGACTCTGAACTGCGATGCCAGCTTTCCTCGTCCTGGTTAGGGATGTTTAGGGCCTAGGTTCAGCGAGGAGACGACCAAATCGCTGCAACGGAGTACCCAAAGATCCTTGTAAACTTGCAGCTCATCAGCCTTCAGCACGCCTCAGGATCAACCGCTTCAGATAGGCGTAGGGGACCTATTCTCAACTTTGCGCATGGCCAGATCTTACCAATCGCCAAAAAGCATCTAAAACTTCTAGCTTCGGTGGAACAGTTTGTACTGGCTTTCAACGGGATGCCCGTGGCTGTAGTGGCCGCTAGTTGCTCTCGGTAGAACTCATGGCGATGCAAAAGCTGCAGGAATGTCTAAACTGTTCGGCCAAGCTGCCAAACCGCTGATACCAGCCAAAGAAGCGGCCCTTCTGTTGCAACTCGCCGGTAATCAGCACATCATCCTTGCGATTCTCAAGGGCTACTGGTCGTTCCAGCGTGGCTGCACGGAGTTTGCTATCGCAGTATGCAGTGAGTTCCACGATTCCAAGGACAATGTCGACAATAGAGTCAATCCAAAGGTCTGCATAAAGCACGGTCCTGGTCCAAAGGCTGGCCATACAGTAAGAATCGCCCGCGCCTCCAGTTGTTCTGAGGCCGACCTCGCAGGGGCCCCTTGGCTGCCCTTCTTCCGGTTTTGGGCGTCTGCAGCCTCGCGCCTGGAGGAGGCCGAGCCTTGAGACTCAAACTTTCGAAGCCTTGGTGCAGACATGATAAACTTTTCTCGAGGCCTTGGATGCGAGAGGTCCATGCCAGCTCCAGCACACCCTCACCGACCCTCCCTGCTTTGCTGAACTCAATCCGGTGGCGTGGAGATGGGTCCTCTTCTTTCTCAACCTGACCGGCCACGGTGAAGCAACACGTGGAAGAGGACACTCAAACGAGCTGGGGCTTCTGGACATTATGATTGCGAGATGCTTTTGGGAACAAGGAAATTAGCCGCAACACGAAAGGCTCACCCCCCGGGCCTGAGAGGATGCTCGGAATTGCCTCGGCTCCAACTACAAAGAGACGGCCCAAGCATGGCCGCGCCTGGGACAAGCATTGCCTCGCCTGTCAGTTAAACGATCTCTATTTTGCCGTGTGAATGCCTGCGGCATGTAGCATGAGATTGGCAAGGAACAGCTTGGAAGGGCTTCTGCCGGGGAGCATTGAAGCTGTCTCATGAGGATGAACTTGCACTGGAGTGCTGCCTCGCATGGCCAGCTGCTTCAACAATGCAACAAGCCGTCACCACGCAGCGCATTGCCAATCGTCCAATTGATGCAAAAAGGCCCGAGGTGTCGTCGGACTGAGTTTGGCTGCCTGGAGAAGCCTCAGAGATGAAGAGAAACTGGAAGTCGCCGTGATGTCAGCTTTGCTGGTGTGCTCAAAAGCCGGTCTTGCTTCTCGCTCTCCGAAGTTTGGGGCTTTCCAAGAAAAACTGTATCACACATCATGTATACGCGAGTTTGTCACGCCAAGGAGCGACGGTGGTCATCAGTGCCGTCGACTCATCTCGAGAGAAGCTCTGAACTGAGGCAGTCCTCTGCAGGTGGCTTTTGGCTTCGGCCGAATCAAAGTTCGGTTCAGAAGCGTCTAGAGTCTAGAGTGCTAACCTGCTCACAAACCTTGCTACAGCTACATCTCGCCAGGGTGTTGGCTCCAGAACTCCTGTCAGCAATGTGCATCAGCAGTCGGCAGCAACACGTCGGGTAGTCACACTTACGAAGGCCACGATCAGCCATGTCTTCGCAGAAGTGTTCAACGACAAGTGGCGACTTCGTGACCTGTCTCGTAGGTGGTGCCGCCCTTGCAGAAAGAAGGTTTGAAACAAGCAGCGTGCTCTGCCGCTACACTTGTTTCGCACGACATCATGTGTCCATGAGCATATCACTTTTGGGTCTGACTGCCCAAGATGTCGCCAGGCTTCGAACGTTATCAAATTACTATCTCAGGACAACATACGCATCTCGCAGCCAATTGCTTCCGAGTCTCTTAAGCTCGAATGTCATTGACTCAACAAGGTGCGCGGGAGCACCCTTTCGTCTTCTGAAGCTGGCCGCTAGGCTTTAAAAAAAGGCCGCGGCTGGGCGAGAAGGCTTGCAACACATGCGACCACATTCCACAGCATGACCAGGGTCAGGCTAAATTGCAAAACTCACATGTCTGACAGCTTCTATAGGAGGAGGTAGCGGCAGGCGGCAAACAAGACCGAGCACCACCACCTCCACCACCACGTCCACCGCCACGACCACCGCCACCACCACCACCCCCACCGCCGCCGACACCACCGCACCCACCACCCCCACTCCGACCCCCACCCCCACCCCCACCACCACATCCACTACCCCCACCCCCACCACCACATCCACTACCACTACCACTACCACCACCCCCACCACCACCACCACATCCACCACCACTACCACCACTCACTGCCACAGTTGCATGATCTCATCACCACTAGAAGCAGCCCTCGAAATCGGTGACGGCGACTGCGAAAACTGTTACATACACAGAACCACTATGAGCAAGAGTATGGCCTTCAGACGAAAAGTGCAGTCACTATGATGACGATGAGAAGCCCCAGCGATGACAACAGGAGCATTCATGTGAACAGCTAGCCTCTGTCCGGTATGCCGTAGCTTCCATGGCTTCCCAATCTCATATGTGGATTCTGCAGCTCGCATGTCTCAACCCTACATGCAGCACACCTAAGCTCTGGAGCCAGGCGCTGCACCAGAAAGCTTGTGCGTAGGTAGCCAAGATCAATAGTTGCCCGACCTGAGCGAGCTTTGAGGGTGTGGTCAAATCCAAGGGCAGGGCATAACCAGGGCGTAGCGGCGTAGCCCTGGAAGCTCACACATTATGGAGAAAAGTGGGGGACCAAGGACACAACGGGCAGAGTGGCAACGGCTAGGTCAGGACTGCCATCTTCACAGCAGCAACCAGCGCCGAGACAATCTGAAGTGATTTAAGGGTAGTTGAAATGCCAGTCCAGCCTCACTAGACAGAATCCAGAAAACAATGGATAGTTCGAGCATCATCACACTTCAAAACTTCCAACTGTGGATCTGGCAAGGAGATGCAAGGAGCACAGCAGAAGAATCCTAAAAGGCGGCACTGCTTGGAGGTTCATGGGTAGTTATAAGTGGGGTTATAAGTCCCCTGATATAGGTTATAACCATAGTTGTCCTACCTATAACCCTACAGTACTTATAACTACCCATGAACCTCCAAGTGGGCCTTAAGAGAGAGCCAGCGCTTCCCCCGAATTCGGACATGGATGTGTCAGAGGCTTCAGCCAGCAGCGCGAGGTACGGAAACCTGCAAGACTAAGCACGCGTCCGCTCATGCTACACTTCCGCGTTGGGCCTGAGTGCAGTGCGTATCTTTTCCCCTAGACTCTGCGACGAAGGTGTGAAGAGAATTCCCATTAGAGAATCTCTCGCAAACAGGTGGGTGATGACAGCCTCAGCCCAGCCAGGGCCCCCAAAAGGGAAGCCTTTTCTGAGTATCTTCAAAGCCTCCGAAGAACTGCTCTTGAAGCAGCTCTTCTGGGATGATGCCCGGCTTCACACCGGCATCTTTTTCAAGCCACCTCCAAAAATTGCTTCCATATATGATGTTGTCCTCAGCATTCGCTCTTCAGAGCACGCGCTTCTGAAAGCAAGCTTGTGTATCTCTAGTTGTCGAGCATCGGCTCGGTATTGAAGTTCGACAGCTGACTTACCGCTTGCTACTAGTACATGTGCGTCAAAAGTTGTTACATGGCAGAAAGAAGTCAACGGAACTAACCCCATCCCCTCAAGCGAAATCCATGTCACTGATCTCGAACTAAGGCCAGATCTGAGCATTGGTGCATCGACAAGACCGGAAGCCCGAGCTCATGTGGGATGGAGGGCATCATACGATGATGGCGAATCGGAACCAAAGCATGAAGCGAAGCTTGCTTCCGCACATCCTCCATGTCCCTGGATTTTACAAACTCCCAGGTTGCCTCAGGAACATCTCCTTCCTCTTCGGGCGTGGCATTCCAGCGTTTCTGCTCGGAGACCGTGTCGCCCGTGGACCCAACGATAACCTCATCCTCGATGAGCTTGCGCCAGTTGTGCCACCCCTCTCCCGCTGGTAGACCGACTTGCAGGAATTCCCTTAACTCGGGTGGGAAGGTGAAGCCAAACTTCGCCTCAGCTTTCCCCACTTCTGCATCGGACAGGCCGGGCATGATCTTCACGCCCATGGAAGCCTGTGCCATGCCCCACTTGCAAGCATATGCAAGATAAGGAGAGCTCGAAGCAAGCAGCTAAGAAGTGTCAGACAAAGGTGCTTCGACTTGCTTAGACTTCCTGTGTGCCTGCATCTCCTTGATTTTCTCGGTGAAATCCTCTCAGCAGTTGCTTCACTTCGGGGTCTTGCACTCAGCTCCCGGCATTCCGTCTGTGCCTGCGTCAGCACCTGCAGCTGGACCTCACCTTTGAGACCCCGAGATGCCAGGGTCGACTCGCCCTGGAGGACTTCGCTGTCCTGCTCAAAGCAAAGAAATACTCTCGCTACCTCTATCAGGGTTTAGGGTTTAGGGCCAGGGACGTGGACTCTTGGACTCTCCTTCACCAGTCGGATCCGGTGGGGCTGCTTCTGCAGGCCACGAGCGACGAGCCGACGGAGGGACTCGACGCTCTCGCCTTGTTTCAGCCAACACACCGCATGCGACGCAGCCGTGCTCGGAGTTCACCGGGGCATGTCTCCACCATTGAAGCTATTGATTGTAGAGGGGCTTTCAGGGTCAACTCTTGTCTGGTGAATCTCGTACAGGTGTCTGGGAGTTGTGCATCAACTAAGTTAGACAGCTTAGTATTAGACTGCTAGATAGCTGGCTATGTAGTTGATTAGGTGCTGTTTTTGTAACCAGTTCTAGTTCGTTAGTTTGTTCGTTCACTCGTTCGTTCGCTTCGTTCGCTAGCTAGTCAGTTACTTAGCTAGCTAGCTAAGCTAGCTAGCTGGACCCTTCGTTTGTTAGTTAGTTTAGTAGACCGTAGTTTTCTAGTTGGCTAGTAAGCTAGCTAGTCAGTCAGCCAGTCAGTCAGTTGGCTGGTTAGGTGGCCAGTTAGTTGGTCAGGTGGTTGGTTAGCTAGTTAGTTAGTCAGTCAGTCAGTTGGTTAGTTGGCTAGTTAGTTGGCCAGTGAGTTCGTTAGCCGGTCGGTTGGTGAGTTGGATGGGCTGCTCAGGTTAGCTAGTCAGTTAGTTGGTTGGTTTGTTGGTTAGATAGCTAGCTCATTAGCTAGCTGGTTGGCTAGTTAGTTAGTTCGTCAGTTTAATTAATTGGTTGGTGGGCTGGTACAAAGTTAGTAAATTCGTAACTTAGTCAGTGGTCCGCCAGTCAGTCAGTCAGTCAGTCAGTCAGTCAGTCAGGCAGGCAGGCAGGCAGGCAGGCAGTCAGTCAGTCAGTGGTCCGGTTGGTGGGTTGGTGGGCTGTGTTTCCCTCCCGCGTTGCGAGGACGAACCTGCCCCTGCATTAGGCTGCAGGATTGGTGGCTTGGGTGGATGCGTGCCGGCTTGCAATGGCTACTGTTCGTGCAGAGGGCAACAGCTCCTTCGGCAATGCATGACATGTATGTGCATACTGTATGTCGACACTCAACCTGCTGAACCACATTACATGTCGATATCGGAAGCCCTCGAAAGCTTCAAGATGAACCTACCAAGTTGAAGTCTTCAGCCACGAATTAGGTACGGTAATGTGGTAGCCGCTGGTAGCCGGAAGCCCAGCATCAGCACTTACATTGGCACGTCACAGAGCACCCACGAATTAGATGCCAGGGCACGTGCAGAAACTTTATCCGGGCCCCAAACGATAGATCCTGCAGCATGGCGGGGCGCTCCACTCGACTGATGGCTACACGGGAGCTTCCGAAAATAGGGAACCCTAATACAGTAAATCCATGCAACTCCCCGATCGAATTCGGCTTCGGTTCCTTCATCAGATCATTTCCTCTCCGTCTACCGCTTGTAATCTCCAGCGAAAGCAAACCAAGAGGTAGATGCAGAAAACCAAAGTAGGAAGCAACTACGATCTGCCGGTGGCCTGACAGATTGCTCCCAGTGATGTTCACTGAATCATCTCCCATGGCAGCCGCCGAGTCGTCCACTGTGGGAGACGTGCACAGCGTGCCCATGCCAAGAGCAAACAGTGATGTTCAAAGATGGCCTATGGCTGCGGAGGCGCTGAGCCAGGAGGATGATCTGAGTTACAGCAGCTGGACATTGACGAACGGGTCAACACGAATGAGCATAGGAAGATCCGTGGACATTTCCCTTTTGCCTGCTCAGCTCGACATCTGAACAAAAGTCAGCTAAGCTCAAGTGCTTTTGCGTCTTGGCCAGGCCCGAGGCGTTTCAGCTGTCATCTTCATCGGTGTGGAGTCTGTCAGACGCTGCAAGAAGAGACACAACTTCTTGGAGGGACATCACCTGGGGGCTCTATAGTCAAGAGTAGAGATGATAGCGGGCTTGTATTCTTGGCACACAGACAGAAAAATAGAATCGGCAAGAAAGAGAAGTGGTTTGGAAGTAGATTCCGGCCACAGAATGTTCAGACAAGCTCGCCTGCCAACGTTCGCTGTGTAAGCCACGTGATCAGTCGAAACTGGGCATCGACGGAAGGGGTGGCGTGTCGCATTGAATCGCATTTCCACGCAGAGCATTCGTGGAATCTTGCAGAGGCATCGACGCAACCTCGGTGTTTTGTCGGAGGCTCGGGTCGAGGCTTGCCGTTTGAGGGTGGAGCTCTGGGGTTGTGGCCTTGAAAAGTCTCTCGCGGCGCAAACCCTACTAGGCCCTACTATGACAATGACAGTCCAAAGTAGCACATGGCCGGCATAATGATCGCCTGAGGCCTGATCTACAAAAACCAGACATGTCCTCAAGTCTGTTATGTGCTGTATGAGCTTTCCTGGAGTAGGACTTTCCCAGGACACGGACCTTCAGATCAACCCTGACGTTTATTTCCACAGGTCGACTGGCAGATAGATCATGTCTGTCGGTGCAACAGACACAGCACTAATTACATGTGCGCAAATCTTTCGCCAAGGCAAGAAGCGCAAGGTCGAACAGACTGGACCGGCACCTGAAGCTTGATTTGATCCATCTCCACTGCAGCTGCAAAAGAAGGCAGTCCCACATCCGTGGAGGGCTGTCCTGCAGTCGGCTTGTCTGTCTCGTAGTCTTGCTCTCTCGTGGTTTCTCCGTTCTCGGTCCGTCTGTCCATCTTTCTGCGCGAGTCTGTCTGTGCCCTTCTGCCTGTGCACTTGCACGAATAATCGGCTGCGCGAGCAAACCTGGTCGCTAAGTTTGTATATTCGGCTACTCTCTATTGTCATTTTCTGCTGTGGGCCTGCGCCAATGCATCCCGAATGCTACACATGTGCGCAGGCCTTGCACTGTATGCACGGGGAACGCACGTGCGCTGGGCAACATATCGGATATAATCAGGAAAAAATGTTTTGCCATATCTCTATCCTGCATCCTGGTGCCCGATGTGGTCCTCCCTCGGATCCGCTTCCGCTCCTACCCATAGTGGCTACCAGAGTCTCCTCCTCGTGCCGGGATTTGGAACATCATGTTCTGCCCCAAATGGTAGAGCGCTGCCGGGGTGGGGGCCGCCTGCACAGGAGCCACAGTGCGTTTCAGGATGTGTCCAAAGATGCATGCAAAGATGGGAGGCGGTACATTCCTGCGGCTGACAAGAACTCCTTGCAGTACGAGCTTACAGTGTAGCTACGGCCTGCATCAGATTCGTCGGCGCCTTGCGCTCTTTCCGGGTTGCAACCTGCGACATCCCAAGGCAGAGTTACGCTCAATAGCAAGAGGAATAGAGTTGGGGATTCAAGACATCGAGAGACTCGGCACTGCGAAACTGGCGCTCTTGCCTGCTTCAAGCTTCCTTGCTGTGCCCCTGAGCCCTCGATGCAGTCTACTGTCAAGTTTCATTTCGACTCTCAGGGTGCCGCACTCACTCTCCCGTCTTCCCCGTGTTGTGGTAGCCCGTGCATGGTATCCTATGACTGAAAAGGACCAGTCACTGAGACCTTTCTCCACTCGCCACGCCAGAACTCCTGCAGTTCACGAGGGCGTTCACATCACGTCTAAACTCATGATAAAGGGCTGCTTGATTAGACTAGTTAAAGCTCGGAGCAAACTTGGACACTCTTTTTTGGGCACACTGTTTCAGAAATCTCTTACGTTTGCATGCTGGCATCGACCGGTAAGTGAAAATTAAGGCGGAGCCCTATCGAGCAATCTGCCTTTGTCAGGCTAGCATCGCTGTGTTAGGAAATGCCATCTGCGAATCCTTATCGTCTAGTGCCTTTGGTACACTGCAGACCAAAAGTTGATGATGCGCCTAAGTACAAGCCTCACTGTTGAGGCACTGGGATCGCTGTGTCAACCGTCGCACTGTATTTCGCACAGTATTGCAGCATGGTGCGCATCAGAGTGCATCTTGCTGAAACCGCTAGTTCATCGTAGGACGTCCGAGCCGTCAAACTACATGCAATTGGTGTTTCGATTTCTTGCGGTATACGAAAGAATAAGAATTGTAGGCCGGCTTGGGCGGTGCCGGTTCCCAGCAGCTACCCTCAGTTGTCGACTGTATATGTCGGAACCCATCGGCTTCGACCCGTCAAAAGGCCACAACAACAACAGCAACAACAACAACAGCCCCGCAACAAAAGGGCATGAACGACCACATGACTAACATCAAGAATCATCGTTGATGTAGAGTGCATAGATAGCGCTAGCAATTCCATTACTCGCTGGCGGCGGCGATGGCAAGAATTGTGATGATGACGACGCCAGGAGTAGTCGTACCCTCGAAGTCGGTCCTTCCAAACACCCGGAGAGGCAAAGAAGGCCCAGCCGAGCTCAGCGCCCCTGCGCACCTCCAGCGAAAGTCAGATAGAGGTCCGGGATGCACTCGAGCAGAGGTCCCCCACGCATGTGTATTAGAACCCTATGAAACTGCATCGAACCTGAACTTCCGTCAACATCAAAAGAAGTCAGCTCAAAATCATGCGGTCCCGATCTTCGGAAATCATGGAGACTTGAACGTGTGAGAAAGAGGACAGAAACGCCAGCAGGAGTCGTGCAGAAGTGGGCTCATGAAACACCGTTCAAGATGAGACGCACGCAAGCACAGGGTTTAAAGCTTGATGCAATCTGCTCGTATTGTCACTATAATAAAATGAGCATCTCTTAGGCAAATAATGCGACAAGGACCCTCGCAAAATCAAACAAAATCACTTGTTTGCTGCACGTAGCATGAATGAAGAGCGCAGTGGCCCGAGGTACCATCACACTTTCTCAACTAAAGAAGCACATAGACCGTCGGACTCGGGGTGGGATGCCCTCAGCTTACAGAGATTCTGGTGTTGGCCAAATTCCTGGTGTTTCGGTGCACATGGTAGCATCGGCCTTAAACACAAGCTGGCTCGCAATTCCCTCCATGAACCAATCGACTACCAGCTTGCAAGCGATGCAGCAGAAGCATTGCCGTGCTGCCGCGCCTTCTCTAACAGGTCTTCATCCTTGTCCCACCTTTGGCAAATGGACCAGCGCTTCGATGGATGCTGCCAGTACATGAAGACATCGCGGGATTCGTCCCAGAAGGTTCTCGCATCGTTGACACGGGTGACCTGTGCGGACCGTACAGATAACTGCGAACCTGAACTCCGGCCTGCTGCGGTCTGCAGTTCATATAAGGTACGAGCGGCAAATACAGGCTTGTGATTTTGCGCGGGTAGCTCTGTGCACGATGTGTGTGTCTGCTGCCCACCTACCGGGACAGTGCACAAAGACAACATCGCAGGAACTTCGTCCCGCTAGGACCTGTAAAGCGTCGCCTTCGGCGACGTCTGTGCATGGGTCGCTAAGAAAAATTGCGATCCGAGAGCTTTTGCGGGCAACTGTAAACTCGGCGGTTGATCTCAGGATCTGGGCTTGCCTTTCAAGTAGTCGTACTGCTTCTGGGGTCCGTTCAACAAGCGGGCCAAGCCGACCTCATAATTCGTGATGCTGTGTTCGAGCGAGCCCGCTGGCACCCAATCGAAAACACCTGCCGACTCACCTGACTTTGCCTCGAAGCGTCCCTTCGTCGCAGGCATCCCGATAGCCTCTGTCACGACAGATCTTCTGCGGGGCGCATGCGGCAGGACCTCATGCCTCGCAGTTTTCTTCGTGGCTTGTGGAAGACATCGAAGAGCCTCCTTGAGCATCTCTTCCGCTAGCCTCCAGCTGACAGGCAGCTTTCTGCCATTGACGTGAGTCAGAATCCACCCTGGCGAGACTTCTGGAGCATCCGGCCGCTCAGCCTTGGCCGTAACAACGTAGGGGTGGACGTGGGAGAAGCGGATACCCAATGGCTTTGAGTGGAACTCCACCTCTGACTCGCCAGTTCTAGTGGTGAAGGTCAGCAACATGCTCTTGTGGCAAGGTGGATCGCAGCCCGCATGCACAACCTCATCATCATCTTCGCAAACCCTGTGGGAATCCAGAACCTCATGGGGCTTGCTTGAGGATCCGGTTGTGGCTTCACTTGTTGCTGATATCGGCCCATACCCAAACAGCACTTCACTTGCAGCGTCCGACTGTGCTTCGCAGCATAGCGCATGCATCATGAAAGAAGGATCAGACCGGAAGGAAGCCAACTTTACAACGGCTCCCCGTGCCAGGCCTATGCCTTGGGCCGAGATCAAACCTAGAAAGAGGCACCTGTGGCTTCAACTCTTCAACAATGCGCGAGCCCGAAAGCCATGAACACCTCAAGCAGCAACAGTTCAGCAGAATGTGCTCCTTGCTCAGGGCCTTGTCGGCAATGAAGTTGCGATTCAAGAGGCCTCTATGGAAGCCTGTCATCCTGCAGGTCTTGGGATGTGAGCTTTGACATGGGGGGGGGGTTCGTCTTCAACTTGCTCATGGTTACCAGTATCGCGGCTTCATCACCACTGAGAAATCGGCAAAGTCTTTTTCTGCGAGATGTCGACTAGATTGAATGTAACGTTCTCACTGGGCGGCGGTGCCATGGGTACTACGAGGAAGCTCTGCATAGCCCTATCTGTAATTGTGTGGTTCAGGCTTGAAGTCCGACTGGGGTCGCACTGAGCTTCAACGCATGGTCAATAGCCCAGTCTGGCCGTTCGAGGTCCCATTTGCAGCCCTGAGACAAACGGAAGCAACCGAAATGCTTTTTGGCCGAGCCTGCGCTCACCGGGCTGCGCCGATACTGTACCCAAATCCAAATCTGGCCAGGTCGCTCCAACGACAGCACGTCCAAGCTGTCAGCTCCATCCCATGGCTCGAAGCCTTCCGTGCTCCCCTCCCAAACCCAGATCTCTTCAAATGAGCTCAGTTTGTATAACCCAAACTCGTCTTAAGTTTCGAACCCCGAACACATACCGTATACGCACATGGTATCGCCGTACGGCAAGATGTGTGGCAAGTGTGGCTGCCAGTGCGGAATGACGTCATCAGTAGAGGTATCATCGTCGTGATCGTGTTGGCCAAAGTAATTTAATTGTTGTCGTCCTCGCCGTCGTCGGTCGTGGCAGATTAGCAAAACCAGCAGGGCGAATACTTGCAAGACTCGTCTCATCACAGACACAGGCATTCCTTCGTGCATCAAGCCAGAACGAAGAGACTTTTTGGACATAGCCCGTAACCTGGAGGTTTTTAGGGTGTATATAGAGTAGGCGTATTTTCAGTTTCGGAAGTGCCAATATTCTGGGCATTCTTGATGTTGTGAAGATTTCGGAATTGCGAATGTAGATCTTGGGCAGGTGCTACGACATGCATTTGTGTAAAAGTATGTGTGTACATATAATATGTATATAATATATAAAACACACTTCTCGTGTGTGTGTGTGTGTGTATGTATGTATGTATGACTAGCTAGATGAGACAGAATAATCACACCTCTGAGATAGAGATGCATGCCAAACAACTGTGCGAATATTTGCCAACACAGGCACCTCGCCCGCAAAGATGTGCCTGGGTGTGCCTGCATGTGTGTATGCATGCCTACTCCAACTCATGCCTAGGCGATTGTAGATGTGGGCTGCAAAACAAAAACTAAAATCTCATGAATCCCAAACCTAGGGGTCGGCACCTGGAGGTACCACCTCCTGAGGAGATGACGGTGTCCGCTCCTGCAAATTTCCGAGTAGCCTCTGCGCTTTCTTCATAGTTCAGAGCCGTTTGACACTGCATCTAGGATAATCTGAGACTTGCCACGGCAAGCCGATACAGACACCGCTTACCGTGGGGCATCAGAGCACTTGAAGGATGGTGCCTTACCTCCTCCAGCCTCCCTCTGACAGCACCAACAAGCCGATCATGAAATGTAGAGTTGAGCAAGTACTCCAGCGATTTCCAAAGGCACAGCTTGAGCTCAACTGCGGAGTGGGCAACGAAGTGAAGGGCGAAGGCTTCTACCCTGGCTATGTAGTGTTGGTGTACAGGCCCAGGGCCTTCGACCGTTTAGTGCAAAACCCCTCCTCGACGAGTGCTTCGCCGGATGCCTGCCAGGGCAGAGGCAGGATGTTCGGCTTCTTTGGCTAAGCACCTTAAGCTCGCCCATCTTCCACACAACAACCAACCCATGTACCAGCTTCTTCTCAACAACGGTAGAAGTTGGTCTGCAAGTTCCGTTTGACGTACCAAGTTCCCGCCACGAGCAGCTTTGCTGACACATATGCGTGAAGAAACACCAAAAACGCCTCTGTATCTCAGCGGGGGCTGATTGATATCGTGCACTCCAAGTGCACTCACCTTCGTCGTTCACCACTTCAGCTCTTACCTAGTTCCAAGCATGCAACTCGACTGTAATCCTCGCGTCCAATCTGGGCACGATTTGCTTCCGTTCCCAGATGATGCGCCTTCGCAAACTTCCAAGATGAGGCAATGATGCTGCAGAGGGCAAACGCTTGAATCTACTTTACTTCCGCAGTCTCACACAAGATGATCGAAACTCTGCTCAGGCTGATTCGACCTGCTTGAACACCTGACGAAATGTTCATTCAAGCTCCGAGCTTACTACATGCCACCTGGGTATGTAATCAAGGCCCGGTTGGGGTTGATGCACAGGAGCCCAACGTCACGGAGCACCGTGCATGCGCCAAGCCGCCAAACAAACACATGCACACACACACACACACAGACAAACACACAGACAAACCCACCAACCACAACTCAGGCTTGGCTTCGCCTCCTTCTGCTTCGTGGAGGAATCCGGAATGAAGACCTGTTCGGCTGGTCCAGCTGGGCGAAGACGAAGTTTCCTGAATCACGTCAATCTTCGGAACATGTTCAGAAGAATATGACCAACCCAACAAACGCCCAGTGCCCAGCAAAACACCTAAGACACCAAGAGGCAACGACTCGGTCGTGACTGCACCCCTTGTCGCAATACCTCTGTGAGCTGTCCAGCCGCAGGGAATGCTTCTCCAAAGATGGTCCTACTGTGCAACGTACTTCAAGATTTCGATGACCCTGCTGGACTGTTCATCTGCTGCACCGTGTCCGTGAACTTTAAGTTACCCCCTCCCCTTAGCAACTCAGCTCTACCACTGTACCCGTCCCATGTGCGGGGTGTAGGATCTAATCCCACCTGCGAATCACATCCGTCAGTGCTTGCGCAACCATCGCACTGACACTCAGGAGGGGAAGCAAAGCCAAACACTTTGACACATTGAAAACTTTCCGGGTCAGACCGCGTGCCAGCTTCGGGCATGAATACTCCAGTTGCGGCTTCAGCTGCTCAGGAGGTCATCAATGACATTCGGAGCACTGATCACCTCGCAGAAATCTGGCTTTCATTTCTGCCTACAAGAACAAGGTACGTTCTTCCCCTCGACGGGGCAGCCCTGCCTTCGTCGGTTCATCCAGACGATCTGCGTCCTTCTGAGCTCCCTCTTCCTGCAACATCTCCAACAGATCCTTACATCTTTTCAATACCTGAGAGGTCGGAACACACCATCCAGGCAGACATTCCGAATCATGTCAACGAAGGCGGAAAGAAACTACGGTGCGTTGCAAAGTCATGGCGGCGAGGCCCAGGAGCCCTGCATCCTACATGGAAGGCCCCACGGTCCCGACTACAGAAAGCCTCTGCCACGACCTCTTGCTGCAAGAGCTCCTAGCTTTGCTATCTTTCGCTTCGGCTGCCAAGGTGCCACCTGATCCAATCGCCATTGACGGTGCTTCTCACGGTCTTCGAAAGTCTGCAAGTCTCCTAGTCTTGTACTGGCTTGGAAGTTGTCGGTCTTCTCATCGGCAGCGCGTTTTCGCAGCACACCTCTTAGCTCGCCTGCGAGAAGCTCAGCAAACGGCTGGAGCTGGTCGCGCTCAACTCGGCGTAGTACACCTGCCCAGACATCCAACTGAAAATCTTGTGCTTCAAGTGCTCGATGCAGTCGTTCTCGAAGTTGTCGGACCTGACTGGTGGAGATAGACGCAGTGCCGAGTAAAGCTTCCATGCAGCGGGTTCCAACATAGTACTGCTCAGCCCGCATTTTGCGAGGGTGCTTCCACTCGGGCGGGTCTCCTTTCGTCCGTCTCAGATAGCAGCGCACACGAAATGTTCGCTCTGTGTAACACTTTTGACTGCACACGGCACATCGCGCCGAGCTTCGCTGTGTCTCCATTAGTGGGCCAGCCATCTTCGGATCATGCGAAAACACATGGCTCTCTTGCTGAACAACCCAGACAAACTTTGTCCGATTCAGGGGCATCATTGGCTCCCTGTCAGAGAGGAAAGAAGCCTTCTTCTTCAAGCTTTCCTCGCACCCGGATGGATCTGGCTGTCCCTCGACATAGTCCGGCACCACATCCCTGACCAACTCTGATGTGCTGGCTTGGGGTTCCAAAGCCTTCCTCTTTCGGGCCACAGCCTTTGGCTGTGGAAGCATAGCCCGGTTTTGTGTCCTCTGTGGCTCTGTGGCTTGCTTACTTGCCTTCGCTTCGCTTTGAACTTCCTTGCGAGGCTTTGGAAGCTCGACCAGCGAGAAAAGGCTATCATCCTCCCTTGGAGCCGCCCGCGCGCGTTTCGCAGGTCCTTTGTCTCCTTCCATTGCAGTACCTGCTGCAGATGGAGGTATAAGAGGTGACTTCCTCGATGCGGCGTCGGAGCCTAAGCTTGCCTCCTGCTGAGACACAGCCATTTCGGGTGTAGGCTTAAAGGTTGCATCAAGTGGCTGTGCGCCTTTGCTGAGCTTGTCGTGCTTCGCAGCTCCTGTTGCAGCCCCGTCATCTGACGGAGTTGTTGCATCCGCCTTGCAGTAGTTGAGATAGCCCTTTGAGAAGTCATTCTCGAAGTCTTGTTTGGCAAAACTGCCAAGAGCCAGAGAAATTTGATGGAACTCGGAGACTGTCTTCGCAGCCTTGTACTTCTCGTACCTCGCATAAGCAGCCGAGGCCTTCCTCTTTGGATTCTCTTCTCGGAATCGAATCTGCCCTTGAGGGTCAAGCCTCAAGGTGCTATGAAAGTCTACAACCACCATGTCATGGTAGCGCCCTGGCAAAGCGTGGCGGTAAAGATGGCAACGGACATCTGTCAAAGTGTGAGAAATTGCACGCTGTCGACTCCCTGAACTCCGGATACCTACAAAGGCAAACCATGGGGCTCTGAAGTTAGGGGTATCTCTGTTTCTACGAGCCCGGCCCGCGCTTATCTAGGCACATATTTCAGATAATCAAGCCATGAGTAGCCCAGGAAACCCTGGCTGCACCTACGCACCCCCGAGAGTTGAGTAAACAGAGACGCTGCGCCACAGACCACACCTGTCGCCGGGGCAGCACTGCTGTGAAGCACATTCGCATTGCAAGGCAACTCTTTCTACTGTGCTGTTACGGCGAAAAACTACTATCGACTTGGCACATTCTGCCTTTGGCCTGTGCACACTCGCACAATCGGTCGTTGGACAGCACAGTCTTCAAAGTGCATTGAATGCATATCAGCACCTGTACGGCACATCGCTGTCCAACCGCACCTCTCGTGAGCACTTATATCATATGACAAGGACACTGCAACTGCAACTTTAACGAACCCAGCACCCGCCCTCGTTTTGCAAGGGCACTCGCCCTAGCCTAGTTTTGGAGCTTGTTCTGCCCCCGTAATATCGTTATACCCGGCTGTTTCAAGTACATTGACCACAAGATGTCACCGCTGGTAGTCATGGAGCACATTTCACGAGAAAGATCGAGCAATATAAGTTGCTTGTCACCTGCAATCGCAGCTTGAAGGCACAATGATTGCGGTAGTGGATTGAGTGGGGGCTCTGCATGCTAAGAATCAGCATCGCAGCAGGTCCAAAGCGATCTTAAAATGCCAAGGCTGAAGCTTCGCCCGGTCTTGGGAGAACACGCGAGCTCAGCCAAACGTACTAATCGATATGGCACCGCATCTGGATTCGGCAAGGCACCTGCAGGGTCCTACCACTGCAGCTGCAAGCACTGTGGTGCGGCTGGGGAGGCATCCAGGTGCACCTGCAGCCTCTCTGCACTGTAAGGCGCCCCGGATGAGGAGTGCTTAGGTGATAACGGTGGGCTCCGTTCGGCCGGTCAGCCTTGGTTGCACCAGGCACTCTTCTGCCATGACTCCCCGAAACCCACAGACGCTCCCATCGCAATGCCGAGCAACACAGCGAGTCTTAGGCACTGCCCTCAATCCCTAAACTCCAGCAAGACCAGAAGCCTTACCTATCCCCAATGAACGACCTAAGGACCCCGTAACATCAAAAACGACGAAGCCGCAACATCAAACACCTCAACTCAAACCCAGCCCAGCATGCCCAGTGACCCTGTGAGGTCGGAAAGCTCCAGCGCAAGCTCCGCCAGCGGCTTCACAACCTGTCAGAAAAGATCGGCAACAGCCATTCTGAACAGCTGATCTACTGCCTTGTGTGCTGGCCCCTGTGGGCGTTGTTGGGCGGTGGATAGCAGGGCATTCATTGTTCCAGGATGCGAGCTGGAGTGCAGGGCCGAATGAAGGACATGACCACTTAGATTTCCTAATTTTCCTTGGTGAGCTATGGCTGCCGGCCGCAATATAAGAACATCCAGGTCACGGCTGGACGTGTGCATTTTGAGCCGGACCCGAGTGGCCGAGCTTGCTTTGGACCGCAAGCCCCACGTTTCGAGGGTCAGCTTCGAGTTCGGCAAGCCAGGAAGGAGGTACTTCTCTCCTGGTTTAGCAACATTTGGCTGGCATACGAAAGGCGACAAACTCACAAAAGCGCGAATGCCAGCACCCAGAAAAGGCCAGCTGCTGAAAGCCTTGTACCGTCAGGTCTTCTTCCCCTCGTGCCATATGTCGTGGGTTTTATACTTTGGCTAGAGGTGCTTGACTACACACGGTTGAACTGCCAGGGGGGGCCGTCGTTCTTTTCTCGTCCGGACAATGGACGTTACGCCCAGGCGAGCCCTTTTCCGTTTCATGAGAGACCTGAATTTGCGATTCGTTGCAACTGGCATCGCACTCTGCAGATTTGTGGTGGTTTCCTAACTTGCCACACTTTCCAGAAAATCGGCCTCGAACTGCGACAAGCCCAGGTTTCCAGAAGGCTTCTCGTACCTCGGGTTCAGAACATGCGGCGCTCTGCGTACATCACGTCATAAGGAGCTGCGAATATGCCCTCATGCTCCTGAACACCGGATTCCGACTCAAGCGAACTCAGAAAAGATATACAAAGACTCTCGCCAGCTGTGTCAGGCGGCTTCTCCAAGTACAGACGGATCGTTGCACCGGCAGACCCAGTCCCGCTAAGGCGGAAGACGATGCGGGAGCCATCGGTGAATATGATCCTTAGTTTGGGGAAGAACCCAAACACATAGAACTGGCCACCGGAGTATGCCGGAGTTGTTTTTGCAAGGAATAGTGGACCCAATACAGTAAATGTGCAGGACATGGTGCAGTGGCACCCCACAAACGTTCACACTCACGCTCTCTCGCTCACATGCACAGTCTCTCTCTCCCTCTCGCTGTGCTGATTTTCTAAACTTCGTTCCCAGATGGATTGAAGGATGGATGAATAGCGGGGCACTCAGTTCGTCAGGTAAGTAAGCAAGAAGGTAAGCGCAGGTGGCTTCGTGGCTCGTGCCTTCCACTGCCTTTGTTATTGCGTCTCGCTCCATGCAGAGTGCAAACTAGGTGACAAACATAAACAACGATAGAGATGCACCCACATGATCCCACATGCACATACGTTCAAGTTCGGGCAATACATCCTAACGGGGCACATAGATTCGTGCTATGCCGCTACACGCAACCTGCAAGGTGGAATCTTTGCGTGGCCACGGATCTTAATGCCCTGGTTCGAAGACACGGATTTGTCCACCGGGTCGTTGTACTCAAAGCTTTCCGCCGACTCCACTGTCATGCCCTTGATTTCTTGACCTGGCGAGCCCCGGTCTGTGCTTGAAATAACTCTGCAGCAGAGAAACCAAGAGGTTTTAGCAGCTAGCAACATGACATGGCATGTACGACGCAAACTGACATGTCGCTGCCAATTGCGATCCCTGCCTTTCAGGGTGTTGCACTTCTCCTTCAAGTTTGCCATCATGGTGTTTGCACCCTCGGAGGCCACCCCCTCGTAGTCATAGCGGCAGTAGTAATTTCGGCCGTATGTCTTCCAATGGTCCATGGTGACTGCCTCCACTGTCACCAGCGGCTTGGACTCATCCTTGTTTTTGCTTGCGAGAATTTGAAGCCAGGCCAGCACAGCCCACATGCCATCCTTCTCTCGAACATGGTTGCCACCGGTGCCAAAACTTTCCTCACCGCAAATGAATGGGGTGTAGCACTCAGTGTCAGGGAAGTACTTCTCATCACCAGAATCCATCAGGTTCCCGAAGAACTTCCAGCCAGTCGGAGTGACGAAGCATGGAATCTTTTTCCTTAGACTTACCAGAAACGTAGAGTCTTCATGCGTCACAGCTCTCGATAGTGTTCTTGATTCCTTGCCCCTTCTCCTCCGCAAAGTCTTCAAAACTGAAAAAACTCATCGGCAGTGCGAGACTTAGAGGGATATACATATGTATATATATATATACATATATACACATATATATATATATATACACCTGTTTGTTCATATAGTTGTACATATATGCATAAACACATGTATGTATGTACCTGCTGTATGTGTAGATGCGGAACATGTATACATCTATGTACTTACATGTACGAGTGATTATTAGCTATATGTACATGAATATGAGAAATGTGCACACGCACACACATATACATATTATATGTCTACATCTATTTGACACTCGCAAACAAAAACATATATAGATATAGGTATAGATATAGATATGCATACATGTGTATATATATATAGAGAGAGAGAGATATGCATTGTTTACCACTATCATCATTAATATTGCTATTGATATTACTACTCATATGATCACTATTAGTATTCTTACCATTTTACTTATCTTTTTCTGGACATAATTGCCTCATTATTGCTTCTTATTATAATCATTCTTCTTTTTGCTCTTATCATTATGACTATTCTTATTATTGGTGCTATCAGTAGAACTACTGTAGTACCACTACTACTTACTGTTATTCTGTTATTCTTATCAATGTGTGTGTGTGTGTGTGTCTCTCTGTCTGTCTGTCCGTCTCTCGTGTCGAGGCACTTCTTGGCTACCAGGTCGAGGGCACCGGAGGTCGGCATAGAGCGAGCGCAGCCTTTCAGCCCCTCCTGGTCAGAGTTCATGTTTCGTAGCACTAAGTGTCTAAGAGTCGCTGCTGTATGGAATTCCAAAGCTAACCTCAGTTTCAGCGCGATCGTCGTCAGTCGTCACGTTTGTTTCTTTGGATCGGTCTCCGTTAATTACTGTCGTCTTTTCATTGTTCCTGCTGCTAGAAGAGCAACTCAGGCCGTTGGCACGCCTGTCCTTGAAGAACGGAATGCAGCTGATGTTGGCCGCGATGATAGCGACGCTGTCCGAAGGGCTTACAAACCACTGCTTTCCTGTGATGGCAGACAGCAGGTCAGAAGACAGGCGCAGGAAGAAGCCGAAACTCGAATCTCAGGCTTGAGACTTCCATGCGGCAGAAAGTCCTAGGATCATATTCCGATCCGCATCCCCATCAGCCGCTGCGCCGAAGTCAGGCACTCCCTCACCGCTGCCAATCTTCTCGCCTTCAACCACTGCTAGCACCCTGCTGCAAATCATGTGGCCCGAAACGCCGAGTAAGAGTCGGTAAGAGTAGTACGCCGTATCCTAGAGAGATTGCAAAGCGGCACTGTCTGTGCTCTGCCCGCACCTGTCTTGTTGATGCCCATCGCCTTAACAAGCTCCACCTGCAAAAAGCACTGCCACCATGCCCATGAAATGCCCATGTAACGGCATCTCCTAACATTGGCGTCAACAGCTTCGGTCTGGCTCTGGAACAAAACATGAAATTTGAGCTCGCACACCGACAGAATTACGACCTTGCACACCATTACGGGGACGATGAAGCTGATGCTTCCCTTCAGTACAAGAACTCTCCGCACGGTAGTATTTCTCGCGCGAAAAACGACGTGACCCATGCAAAGGCGTGGCTGGTCGGAATCTAAAGGAGATTCGACAACGATTCACGACCCAGCAAGACGAAGACGGAAGCCATCAGACTTGCGCCAATAGTCGAATCGAGACACCGCGTAGGTCAAGTTGGGATCTGCGTGGCCGTGGGAAGGGGAGTCCTTTCCGCCGAAATCCTCCAAGGCAGCACACGGAACGTGCTTCCCATCAATCAGGAATAGCTGAATAGCATCACACGGCCATGGGCCAGTCCTCCTTCGGGATGGCATTCATGAGCGAAGATCTGAGCCGACGAGTGCAAGGACGCTTCCAAGGAATAGCCGGAAGGCAAACACGCCCAAACAAAAACGAGCGGACATGAGCGGACCAATTTGATTCATGCTTGCTACGACGATGGCAACCACGTCATTGTTTTCAAAGCCGGCTCAGCCTCTGCATAAGCCGCTGTGGGTTCTTCGTGCGTTCATTTATCATTATTCCTTTTCGATCGGGATACGAGACATACCCGATGAAGTTCGCCTTGCCGGAAGAATTCGTGTTGGCTGAATAATGTTGAGTAGCAGTTCGGCCTTTGGCTCATCAGCGCAACGGATACCAGTCTACTTCCTTCTGCGCCAGCAGCTTATAGGAGGCTGCAGCGCATGTCTGCAAATGCTTTACATTGCCTCCCAGCTTGCACTCACTGTGAGTCACTAACAACGTGAAGGTCTTCCTGAAGGCCTTCTTGGACGCTTGTCGTTTGGACGGGGCACAGCAGAGGCACAGCATCATACAGGGGTGCATGCAGCAGACGCTTGTCACGCCCACTCGCCCTGCAAAAGGAGAAGTCGGTGGATAGCCATGCGGGTTGCATGCAAAAACATGCGCAGGATAGACATTACCGGGTGTGTACTGTGTATGACACTGCCGGGTGCCTTGGCTAAAATCAGTCTCCGACATGCAGCATGATGCATGGTGGCATAGTGTGCCGTCAGCTGTGATCACGGTCTGTGACAGTCATCTGGCAGCCCTCGTGGCTGCATGGGAGCACTGGAAAAGGCTTGAACCAACTTCTTGCGCGCATGTCAACTGGAAGGAATCGAGCTCTGTGGTCCCAGCTCTGCAGCACCCAATTCGTCCACAAAGACCTGTGCAGGTGAGACCCTCCTAGGTCCTAAGCTGCTGAAGCCTTGAACCTCGAAAATCGCAGGAACGACCCACCTTCCGGGCGTATGGGCCCTGAACACCGTTCATGGAGTCATACACCATGCCTGACATGATGGCCCTCGCATAACGTGCCAATGTGCAGGGTGACAGCGGCGCAACCGCAAGGTCAGCAATCTGAGTACGTGGCTGAAATCCTTTCGGGCGATGAGCTTCTTGATCGCTTCGAAATCAAACACCTCGAAACAGAGTCTTGCAATGTCTTGCACAATATAAGCAGCCAGGCATTCTTCCCGTACATGCCAAGGTGAAAGGCCGACCTTCTGCAGCAGGCCGACATGATCTTCGGTACCGTCAAAGACATCCACGCGAACCTCAGGACCAAGCAGCGAGGCACATGGACAAATCCTGTGCTGCGACTCCACACCTTGCCATCCACCACATAGGTCCCAGAGGTGGAGATGTCGATGGTGGGAAACCCCTTGCATATCTTGTATTCCTGGATGCAGCAGGGACATCTCTGTTGGTCTGCTGGCCGGGCGTTATCGATCACGTCTTAGAACATCATGACATCACATCCATACCGTGGCACCAATGGACGAATGTATTCCATTCATCGAAGCCCTTGCATTATCTGAGTCTGCCTCTGCCCCAGTTCTGTTCTGCCCCGGCTTCTCCCAGCGAGCCTGATGCTCGGAGATGCACCCAATGAGTTCCATCTCCCCTCCCCGCACCCCACATCTCCCCGACACGAGGACTCACGACTTCCCCTGAGCCGTGTCCCGAATAAGAGTCCAGGTCTGTCGCATGCAAACCTGCGCAGTTCATCACAATTTCCATCAAAACATCCAACTCCCAAAGCATTCTGGCTGGGTGACATATCCGAACAGACTGAGGGCACTCCTGGGTCTCTGTGGCTATCCCTATCCGTCCACACTCCCCACCCGGTCCTTGATATCCTTGGTAATGGTATGGATCATGTCTGTGACCTTCTCTGGTGCAGACCCACCGTTTTCGCAGTTGAACTTGATGCCGAAGTCCTCGTCACGGTTCAAATGTCTAGCTCACGGGCATTGTTCAGTGCAAGGCATCAGCCATGCAGCGAAAGTGGCACGCCTCGTCGATACCACCAGGGTTGTGGGAGGCGGACAAAATGAAGCCTAACCACAAGTCTGGACAGGTCACGAGCCGACACCATCGAAGGCTGGGACAGTTCTCGGACATTGCATTCGCGAAGGCATGCGTCTGCTGCACGCACCGGTGACTGCAACAAGTACAAGTCATACAATCACTTCTCGTTCGGGGCACCGCCGAACGGAACGAAGCCACCCTCGCGGCAGCGGATGACAGCGCTCGCCGCCGGAGTGCTCATGAGGCCATCCTTGCCTCGGCACACTACCCACCCGCACCATGCGCACATCAAACGCCGGAGGCTTGAGACGGAAGCCGTAGCAAAGCTTGACTCTCTGCCATGCTGCCGATCCAAACGGCCTTGACCCCGTTCGCAACGGCCATCTTTGTGATGATCTGAATAGCTTCCTGCTCCAGCGCATTTTTGACGCGGGCACTTTGAAAGCTGAACCATGGAGCAGAGTTTGCTGAACAGGGTTAATGCAATCTGAGCTTCGGCTTACAAGCTCAGAAAACAAGGAAATATGGGCCGCCCGTATCGGATGGCACGGAAAAGGATTTTCAAAATCGCAGAGATTTGCACCTGGCCTTGTTGTAGTATCGACCATCTCCGCTGACGACGATTGTGCCACCTTCAATTGGCACACCTGTGGACTTCAGAGCATTGAAGGTGCTCTGGACGAAGTTCTCGAGATAGTTCTTGCCCATGAACACCTGCCCACAGCACCCTCCACACATGCTGTTCACAAGACTCCTTGCTTCTGTGCTTGTCTTCTCTCACAGAATGCCAAGTTGACAGCCCCCGGCCCCGAAGCCCTAGTCAAGACACATCCTTCCGCAGCATCGTGCGTAAAGAAAAAAAACTGACAGCACGAATGCTGACAAGCAGACAGGCACAGCCACCCCTACCAACACGATGATGAAGATGATGATGATGATCATCATCATGCCATTCATGATCACGCTAGCAACTCCATACTATAGCACAGTGAGCACATTCCAGTACACGATATGCTGGTATAGTGTAGTATAACTTTATAATACATTACAGTACATCATTGTAGCATCTTATAGCATATTCGCCTCCGTCCTGGCCGAAGCGGTGTGAGTTTTGTACAGGAACCTCCTGTTTCCCCTCCTCTCAAGGCAGACAACACGAAGCAGCTAGAGTTAAACCCTACCTGAACCCTGAATGACCTACCTTTTTAGGGCTCTTATTATGACTTTCTTACATAAACCCCTGATTGAAAAAGGTAGGTTCTTGGGGTGTTAAGGTCATTTTCTACAGCTTGGTCCGGCCTTTGTCTTCTTTCGTAGGCCGGAGGTGCCGGGCTTCTGGCCATCGATGGGCTCCGTCGCCTCCTCCGAGATGCGCAGACGAAGATGCAAATGTAAAGATTCACGCAGCTAGGATCACGTAAGCGTGTGCATACACACATGCATGCACGCATGCACACCTATCTCATTGTATAACAATATAAAGATAACAATAACTATAATCAAACATGGTATGTACACCTGTGTGTCCGCGTGTGTTGGCTAGTTACTTAATGGATATACTCGTTCACCTAGATTGCCCATGTATGCATCAGTTCACTCTGTCATGGCTCCGTCTGCATCAACATCTCCATTTTCTGGAATATTCCTCTCTCTCTCTTTTTCTTTCTCCTCTCTCTCTCTCTCTCTTTCTTTCTCCAGGCTTGAGGGCATGCCCCCGCTGGGGCAGCCTATGCTGTTGGTGGGCTGCACGGTTTTACGTGCATTAAAGGTTCGAGCTCCCACGGGCTGAGTTCAACAAACAACTTACACAAGCAGTACGCTCCTAGAATTCACTCACGGCTCATGCCCTGCTGCCCCGCTTTACCCGCTCTCTCTCTCTCTCTCTCTCTCTCTCTCTCTCTCTCTCTCTCTCTCTCTCTCTCTCTCTCTCTTCACTTATGTAGATAATGCTGTTGTGTAAACATATCCGTGCTTCTGTTCACTTAATGCTTGTATTCGTGTATCTTAGTCGCTGTTTGTGTCTCTACATCGTCGAATTTGACCGATTTTCTTCTTGGCGATTTCGCAATCTTCCAGTGCAGACTTAGACTAAGACTGAAATCCAAAGATCCTGAGGAAGTGCCATACTAGACCTACGCTGCTTGGGTATGCTTCGGTCTTGTTCCAACCCCGCGCCGTCGTCACGGTGAGATCGCCGGCCAGCGCCTTCTCTGCGGCTTTCCTGCGTACAGCACTTCAAGTATCCCAGACACGGCTGTGCCATGGACTTACCTTTGGTTAGAAAGGAATGTACCCCATTCCTCCATCCCCGACTAACCAAACGTCAGTCATGTGGTCTGAAACCGTCCGGCATGCTCCTCTTCAGCACAACAGTGACATTGGGAGAGTGCTTGACAGGTCCAGGAACTGACGTCCATTTTGTCCGCACCTGAGTAGCCAAAGCAATCTCTGACGCACACAGATCGATATATAGACGGAGGACCGGTCGATAGATGGATAGATAGACAGACGGATATATACGGTCGACAGATAGATAGATAGACTTAGATAGACAGGCAGATAGATATAGAGAGATCTCTCTCTCTCTCTCTCTCTCTCTCTCGAGAGAGAGAGAGAGACATGGAGAGGTAGAGAAATCGATAGATAGATGATAGATAGATGGACAGATGGATGGATGAGTGAATCGATCGGTAGGTCAACCAATCGACCGTTCGATAGGTAGATGGGAGTAGATGAGTAGATAGATAGATCGCCAAATAAGCAGGGAGATAGATAGATAGGTCGACAAACAGATACATAGGTAAATCAATCGATCGAACGGTAGATAGATACATAGATCGAGAAGTAGATAGGCAGATAGACCGATCGATTGAGTATGTGTGCGTGTGCGTATTTAGAGGAGTGTATTTTGGTATGTGCTTGCCTGTTTGCCTTTGCATTCACTTATTATGTAGAAGCACCTCGGCATGCCGACACATCTGTTCTCAGCAGACTCTGGGCGACGCACGGCCGCGATGGTCGCAAGGCCTTCCTGCAAGGTCAACGTTTGGATACAATGGCGTCCTGCCTACACGCGCTCCTTCTCCAAAGTGCCACCGATGTACGAGGCCACACCTGCAGAGGCCAGGGTGCACTGTGACAGCCTCCGGATAAGGAGTCTTAGTACAGCGCATACACTCGCACATACTGGAAGACTCTGCAACCGAAGGCGCTGATTGCATTTCCCAACGCCATGAGCGTTACTGTGTCCACGGGCGGCTTCTCCGGCTTGTCGTCCTTGGCCGGCACACCTTCGAGAAACGACCTGATGGCAATATTACATCAGAACACAGTTCAATCTCAGCGAGAATTTCCGCAGATTCTGCAAGCAATGCGTCTGCCTTGTTCATGACTTCAGTACCGGTGCGATTTCACCAAATCAACCAAGCCACCAAAATATTGAACCACAACAACACTCGAACCCTTGTGTACCTCGCCGCACGTAAGTAGAACGATGCGGGCTTGGCCGTTGTCAGCCGCAATTCGACAGCCATGTCGGCTGCAACCGCTGCGCGGCGAAGCGTGGGCAAAACTGCAATGAAACAGCTGCGGCACAACTTAGCTGTTTACTGAACATTAGAACCATAGCATCCAAGGATGCCAAGGCCCGATGCTTTGACAACCTACCATGCACAAAAAGCCCTGGTCCTCTCTGCATGGCACTGCATGGCTAGACAACAGCACGCTGTAGCACGTTCTTGAATCGCCAATAGCACTCTGCATGTTTGGCCTGTCTGCCCATGCTGCTGCCGCAGCCACGATGCGCACCTTTGCTGCAAATTCGAGCATGCGTATACGCCAAATTCATTTCTTTGCATGCAATAGCCGACCATCACCACCATCAGCATCAGCAAAACCAGCATGATCATCGTCGTCATCAAAAGAATCAGCATCAGCATCATCAACATCATCATCGTCATGTGGAGACGGCCTTCCTAAGCACATACAGACGTCACGCCACAACCTCCGAGGATGTTGCAATCGGAGTTCCCATTGGATTGAGGCAGTTCTCCTGTGACATCGCCCGAAGCAAGCAACTCTTGAGGCTGACTGATGTCTCCCAGAGAACAAAAGGGTGCGCGCCGAACGTGCGGCACTGCACCAAAACCCGAACTCCTGCTTGACGAAGTCATCGCTCGCCTTGCAAGCATGTGCAAGTCTGATAGCCACCAACCGAGCCATGATCACGAACTGTAACGAGTGAACTTCGAAAAATCTCCAGCAAGTGCGGATTGTGACCCACCTCAACAACGGTAGGGAGTGCTTCAGGGTTGAACTCAACTTAGAACTTCGGGCCAGGAGACTCGCCGTGCAATCATCGGGGGCAGCAGCTAGTACGTGCAGCTGAGCATGTTACCCAATTAAACCCTATCCGATGTTCCCATTAGGCGAAGGATGACGGTCCAGCACATCTCTTTAACCCGCTCCCTCATTAGGCAATGGCGCTCGGACCTGTTTCGTAGACCTGCCCGCTCGTTCGACGATGGTGCTCGATCACATCTCAGAAACCCTCGACAGAATAAGAGTTGCAAGCTCTGCAATGCTGAAAAGCTGTAGGTTCCGCGATGCCGATCGATCGCATTTCTTAAACCCTCCCGCTCAGTAGGCAACGGCGGTTGGCGACATCTCTCAAACCCGACTCGCCTCCTCGCTATGAGATGGCGATTGACGGCGATTGATGACATTTGCCCCCGCAGGAGGCGATGACGGCTCTTCATCCTGCCCCCTCATTAAGCGACGGCTGTTGGTCACATCTGTTAAACCCGCTCCGTCATTATCTGCAACCCGCCCCTTCGTTAGGATGGCCGCTTGATCGCGTCTGTTAAACCCGCCGCTCGCTTGCAAGCACAGTCGTCGATGACCGGAAAGCCTTCATCAGATGAAGACTCTGAATCTGGGTGCAGCTTTGCAAGTGTTGAAGCAGGGGGAGTGGCGGCATGGGGCGGGGGAGGGCCCCCCCTTAAACTTGAGGACACAATGCACGACATAACAACGACAGCTGAAGGCAGCTAAGCCAACAGCTAAGCGGACGGCAAGAAGCCAAAAGAAGAATCCACGGCAACAGAAAGGGAACAGGGGAAAGCCACAAAGCAAACAAAATGCGGAGTCTGCCGAAAGCAGAGAGCAGACAAGCGATAAACCAAAAGCAAGTTGCAAACGCAGCAAAACGCCAAATGCTGATAGCAGAAAAACGGAAGCAAAAGCCGCAGAACGGAAACAAGAGTAAATGCAGCAGACTGTTGCTGAAGGTCTACTTACTTCATCTTACTTCAGGGTTTGTCGTTGGTTGCTGTTTGTGGTTTGTTGTTGGCTTGCTTTCTCGTCGGACCCGTTGGACTTGCTTTTTGCGTTTCGCCTGACGCTGTTGCATTTCTGTTTGCACCGCTTTATACTTTACATTCTATTAATCTACATACTGGTTGACTTTTTGTTGCTTTGCGTTGTATCTTGCTTTCTCCTTTCCTTGCTCCCCTCTTCCGCGTTCTGGCACAGCCGTTGTGGTCAAGTGCACGCCGCCGCGAGTGAGTGTCAGCTTTGTAAGATTCCGCCTAGGTCCTAGGTTGCTGTCATCTCAGCGCGGGGCTCGTGTCGAGTGTGCCTCCAGAGCCTCCAAGCAACTCATAGGCGGGAAGCGCTGCCAGAAGCGCAATGCGACACATCCACCACTGTTTGAGCAGTCCTGTTTCTCTAAGCGCAGTCGCGCAGCTTGCAGTTGAGGCGCATGATCTTGGCAGGGCGCATTATCGACTTCGCGAGGTTCCACGACCAGCTCGAGCTTCCGAACGGATGACAAATGCTGTGAAACTCTGTCGGCGGGACGTTGTAGCAAAGTTGCCAAATCCTGGCCGATCAGCACTTGTACCGAGACAGTGTCAACACGAGGCATGTACAGTCGTTTGCCGCGTTCGCGTGGCCTGCCACCTGCCCTCCGGGATGAGATCGACGGCTTTCTGCAGCAACTGACGGCCTTTCGCAGCGTGGCTTTGCTTGGCTTTGCTCGCCACGCTCCCAGAACGGGCCCGGGCCAGGCCTTCGGTAGTGGACGCGCCCTGCCAACCCGGACTGTCGCTTGATAGTTATACCTTGCTGCAATGACACAACGCATCCGCACCTGCGGCGAAGCCATTGCAATAACGGGCGTGATACCAATACGAGTCTGACTCGGAGTTGTTGCTTGCATTTTGATCAACTTGTGCCAGTAATTTCCAGTGTCCCTTCCATCAACGTCGTGTTCTGGAATGTGTTCTGGAATGCCAAATTATTGCCGTGACGCACAAGAGGCGGGAACCAGCGTTGTTCGACGACTATTCAACATCGGTGAAAACTAAGCTGGTTCAAGTGGCAGCAGTCAGCGGGGGTCTGTGATTTCCTCGGGCCATGGAAGAGCTGGTGACTTCGAGGCAGCATTCAACAACGGAGCAAAGGAATGACAATGACAAGGCTCGCTCAATCTTTTTTGCTCTGCAAGACTTCTGCAAGTAAATCAGCTTCTGGCAAAGATTACAAGCGGAGAGGCACAAAAGCCGCCCTGTGCAAAAGCCATGTGGCTTGATCCAGATCTCTTGCCTTGAGACGACTCCCTCCAAGCACGGCGAACTAACTCCAAAAAACTAGCCCAAAGATTTAATTGTCTGACCACGCCGTTTGCCACCCGAAGCCAGGATTCCAAACCCTCCGATCGAGTTCAATTTCTGGCAGGTCCGGCCAAAGCCTTGAAACTCCGACGTCCTAACTTCCTGACGTGTTTGCCGGAGCCCTGATTGTGACACTTTCAGACAGTGTCAACCTCTTCGAAAGCAGCACACAGAACTTCAGAACTTCCGAGCAAAGCGAAGATTGAGCTTCGAGTCTCGGGCTCGTGGGCACAAGTTGCCCAGGTGAACGAGCAGTCCACCACAAGCCAAGGCCTAAAACAAAGGGACTACTACGACTACCAACCACTGCATTGCCGCCACCACCAGCACCGCTACGAAGATGCCGGCGAGGACGACGACTATGACCAACACAACAACAACGACAACAACAACAACAACAACTACTACTACTACTACTACTACAATAATAACAACAACAACACCAACACCAACAAGAACAACAACAACAACCACAACCAACAGCCAACAACAAACAACAAGAACAAAAAGAGCAACGAGAACATCAACAACAACTACTACTCCTACTACTACTACTACTGCTACGACTACCACTGCTACTACTACTACCACCACTACTACTACTACTACTACTACTTCTGCTACCACTACCACTACCACTACCACTACCACTACTACTACGACTACTACTACTACTACTACTACTACTACTACTACTACTACTACTACTACTGCTACCGCTGCGACTGACACCTCTACAACTACATGTGCAACAACGACGACGACAACTACTACTACTACTACTACTACTACTACTACTACTACTACTACTACTACTGCTACTGAAAGTGAAACCTACAAGTACAGCAACAACTACCGCCACCACTACCACTACTCCTGCTACTTCTTCTACTGCTACTACTACGACTACGACGACTACTACTACAACTACAACTAGTACTACCTACTACTACTACTACTACTACTACTACTACTACTACTACTACTACTACAACTACAACAACAACTACTACTACTACTTCTACTTCTACTTCTACCAAAACTTCTCCTGCTACTTCGACTACCACTACTACTACCACCTCTACTACTACTGCTACTACTGCTACCAAGATTACTACTACTGCTACGGTACGACTACTACTCCTCCTGCTGCTGCCGCTGCTACTACGACTACTCATCTAAACGCTCCTGGACAGCAATGGCGCACAGGCCTGAGAATCTGCCCGAATTCTACCGGCTTGCTCCTTGTCTGCTTGTCGCTCATGGAAGCAACTGGCTGGATGCTCTGCCTCCCGCAATAGGGTTTAAAAGTCCATCTTCGGGATTTGAAGACACTCGATCAAGAAGCAACTAATTGCCAAAGACATCTTGACCGAGCATGTAGGATTCAAGCAGTTCCGGCATATCGCACACAGACTCCGACAGGCTGCTATCGGATGCTCCCAGCTAAAATGCTTATAAGGGGCATCCTAGAACCTTTTTGAACCCAGGCTCAAATTCTGCATCAGCTGGAAATCGGCAGCCAACATGACTACTGCGCCCGAGAACCTGTTCTGCCAACTATCTGCGTGCAAACTGGCCGGCCATTGCCTTCTGAGCAGGGAGCCCGGTCTCTCCTTTACATCCCATCAGATGCGGGGACTACGAGACTACAAGAAGGCCCCGCGTAACCGGTGGGTACGAGACTCGACCTGCAAAAACCGACGATTTCGCCGGAGCAGGACCCCTGAGGCTTGAATGCAGAACCCCACGGAATTTTTCTGAAAAGGTACTGCCACATACGAGAAACCCGAATGACAAATGAAGCCCACAACGGCGCCATGACAAGTGTTCTGAGTACTACACCTCCAAATACTAGC